CAGTCTCCTAATACGCTTACCTGGGGGCGGGGGGAAGGATTGTCAGTAATGGGACTAGACTAGGTCCCATGGCTAACAATATCAGTAATTATTAGGTCGACCTTCATGCGGTTTCCCCTGGAAACCATCTTGATTGTTTTTTTAAGAATTCATCACTATGGGCTAACTGCTTTCATCTTTACTTATCATCCCTCACTGGTGCCCTGTCAGCATATACCGATAGCGTAGGCAGGGTTACTATTCCATTATCATCCATAAAAAGAAAAAAATACGCTCATGCAGGAAACCATCGGTACAATAATATAGGTTATGTTACTCCTTTATGCTATAAGTGTTTAATTAATTGCAATAAAGTTTGAAGGATAACCGAGCTAAAGTGGCAATGGGCTGGCATCTAGCTCGTAGAACTGACAATTAATGGAGAAGAAAGTTTCTTATATGGTACAGCCAAATGCAGAACGATTACACACTAGGTGGAGCGACGACCGATACATTGCTGGGAGTCAGTGGATGCAGGTGGTTCAGGACCGTTCCTTATGGCAGTCTATGGGGGAGGCCTTTGTTCAGTATTGGTTAATTGACAGTAGATATTATATGAATGAATGAATGAAAAAATTAAAGGATGAAAGGTTGAAAGGATGAAAGGATGAAAGGGTGAAAGGATGAAAGGGTGAAAGGATGAAAGAATGAAAGGAATTTAGTACATGCATGGTAGGTATTTAACATTAAGAACAAGTTATTAAGATGCAGTTTTATAACTGACGAAGTTATGAGGCAACAAACATTAAAAGAATACAACCGATTTGAAAACTACCTTCTTTTTGTAGTCGGTTAAAAAGAGTTTTTCTCTAGTGTTGATAAAAAAACTAGAAAAAAGCAACTCGTACTCTAGTAGTTGATTTCTATTGATTTTTTTATGCAAATTAGAATGGTAACCGTCGCCTATAGACATGAGCAGTACCATGGACATAACAGTTTCCTGTTTCGCCCACGATACCCCCCATGCGTTACCATTCCCGAGGACTAAGGTGTTATGTCTCTGTACCCTGTAAGTTCGCTGCCATATCCCACCATTAAAACCGAAACATAGCCATTCAAACAACTGCTTAACGGTTGAATCACGAATGGGACAGAGATGCCTAAGTAAACGACTTTTGTACGAAGTCTCCCTCTGCTATCAAATTTGGAATATGCGAAAAAAATGTAAATAAAGCTTCTCCAAATTCGTTTAGTACCTCCACGTAGCGTGGTACTTAAATTTTCCACGCGGCCGACTAACGCAGCACCTGCAGCCGGCCGATACCAGGGTTGTCACCACTGGATGCTATTGCATTAACAAATAGTCGCGCGGCTTCGTACACCGATGGATTTATTCGCCCCCAGAATTGTCATGAATTATATTTCTTTATATCTACACTAATATTATAAAGAAAAAGGTTTGTATTTTTGTGTAAACTTTGAATAAACTCCAAAACTACTTTGCCGATTTCACAAATTCTTTCACCATTAGAAAGCTACATTCACCCTGAGTAACATAGGCTATATTTATTGCTAGAAAAGATTATGGATCCTTACTAAAACTTTAGTAACGTATCTCAAGGTGTAAAAAAATGCTATAGAATATCTTTCGTCGCGTGCGCTGCGGAAACTATTGGTGATAGAACAAAAGTATGTTCAACAATATTGAAGAAAATATCAATAACTATAAAAAACTTCGCGATACTATTATGTCCAACTATTATCGTTATGTTACAATAACCACTTTTTTATGTTGTATAAATGTCCACCCGTGCGAAGCCGGGACGGGCCGCTAGTAAAATTATAAACAAAATAGGGTTGTCGCTGCTTGTCGTTTTTGAAATCGTCAATTTTGTTGCTTGGTATATTATCGCGCGTGAAAAATTTTTATTGTTCGTTATTCGTCATTGAACTTAAAAAGTAATTGTGTTTTTGATTTCCGCGCATTGTTTGAGAAAAGTACTATACAGGCCTAGGCCACAACTAGGCATTGATGGCCTCACGTATGTGTGCCTCGGCTACGCCTCGGCCCACATTTGCACACGTTCGTCCATTAATGCCTCAGTTGCAGTAATGTACTATTAAGGGACTTTACTCCTGAAAAAAAATATTAATTTTCAATTATTTTTCATATGTATCCATATTAAGCGAGGTTTTTGTCAGTTTTGGTCTGATATTGGGAACTTTTAAATATAGCTAATTTAGAGTGCATAATTTTTCAGGTGGGTGGTCAAGGCAGTACCTACATGCAGTCGGCAGATTATTATTGTAATTTACAATTATCTTTGTATTATTAGTATTATAAGTTATATATCTAATGCATCACGTCACGCGGACAAAGTTGTGGATCCAAAATAAAAGAAAGAAAATTTCGATATAATCGAAAAAGTTTACACGAATAGTACCTACTAATTATCTTTTCTACAGGTGCGGATCCAGACACCAAAAAGCTTGTGGTCCAGCCTCTCGAAAATCGGCCAAGTGCGAGTTGGAGTTTTTTTTTTATTGGATGATAATAAAGTGGTAATCCGCTTGCGCTAATATAAGTTGGCGGGGCACCAGTGAGGGATGATAGGTGACGATGAAAGCAGGTCAGTTAGCCCATCGTGATAAATTGCCCTAGAATTAACCACAATGATTTCTAGGGGGAATCACGTGGAGGTCGACCTGATAGGGTATATTGCTAGCAATGGGGCTATTAGACTCTATTACTAACAATCCCTTTCCCCCCTGCGAGTCGGAGAATGATCTATATAGTGCATTTTTACAAAGGAGATGTTTACACAACATATGAAGCTCTGGACAAGATTTTGTACAAAGAACAGCTTTATGTGGGTGGGGGAAGTCTTAGTAATGGGTTCTAAAAGTCCCATTGCTAGCAATGTACCCTATCAGGTCGATCTCCATGCGGTTTCCCCTAGAAACCGCCGTGGTTAATTCTTGTAGAATTTTTCACGATGTACCAACTGACCTGCCGTTTCATTCTCACCTGCCATCCCTTACTGGTGCTCCACCAGCGTACACCGATAGCGCAGACAGGATTACCATTCCATTATCAGTTAAAAAAAGCCTTAAGTAGACCGTGAAAAGGTTATATTACAAGTATATTAGGATTGTGGGTATGCCCAGCGTGCCTGCAACGGTGCATCCGCGCTTGCTATCCTAAATGCATTTCTCGTAATCTGAGCGCTAACCTATGTATGTAGGTACCTGCAGCGTCCAATCTCTGGTATCTAGCTACAAGTATCTTGTTAAACAACTGAATATATTTGCGGTTGTGCATACAATGTACGGTCAGTTCATACTGATATGTTTCTAGCGTAGAACATAGAACTTCTAGTAAGTGTAGGTATAAAACGTGGATTGTTATGCAGTAAATGTCGTCATTGTTATCATATTGGTCGTGTTAATGGTACGTGGAGGGGGGAAAGGGATTGTTGGCAATGGAGTTTGGCAGCCCCATTGCTATTAATATGCCCTATTATGTCGACCTCCGCGTGGTTCCCCCTGAAAACCATCGTGAACAATTCTAGTTGAATTCGTCACGATGGGCTAACTGATTAGCTTCATCCTCACCTATCATTCTTCACTGATGCCCCGCTGGTGTATGCCGATAGCGCGGGTGGGGTTACCATTCCATTATCATCCAAATAAAAAACCTACCTGCCGAGGGTAGCTACTATTAGCATACCACCTCTTATGAGAGAGGCCTATGTTCAACAGTGAACTAAGTGAGTAGAATGAGAATTTTTTAAATTTATTTAAATTAATTTTTAAATTGTTTAAATTAATTATTTCGATTTATAACTGATTGATTTATGAATTAACAAATATAAAAAAAAATCCACCCGAATTCAGAATCTCCTACTTTTGAAAGTATTTTGAAAAAAAATGGATTTTACCTACCTGGACCTACGAGTGACATGGACTTTTTTATGCTATTTAAAAAAAATAGAGGTCTACTTGGAAATGTGCGCGGAGTCGGGGCAGGTGGCTAGTCTTAAAAAGAACAATCACTTTTTCTGACTGTCACTCGTCTTAAATATTACCATGATATTTTCCACAAAATCTACCAGAATACGTTGTTTGCGCGCCATCCGCGCCGCAACCACAAATCACGCGGTGTTGCCAGCCTGCAAACTTCAAAATACAGCAATATTTCCATCGCCTCGCTCCAATAAATAACGACTGTATTGCCAGCTTCTCGATTTCAACAATATTTGGTTATTACTTTTTTAGTGATTCAGTGTAAACATCGATTGGATTAACTGTTATGAATGGAGTGGTAACGGTAACTTCGCCTGCACTGTTCACATACTGATAATCTCGCAGGGTACCACTGAATGATGGTAAGCGAGGACGAAGTCAGTTGATTACTTCAACAATTTTCTGTAGTAGATTTAAACAAAAAATGATGGTTTAAAAGTGCTTGTAAATAAGTCTATTTAAACAAAGATGATTTGAAATTAATTTTAAAGAGAGATACTGAATTTAGCTACATTTTTTATACCTTATAACTCCGTCAGTTGTAAACCGATTTGGAAAATTCCTTTTTCTGTCTCAAAGGACATACTTACAGATCTCATAGAAATTGTATGTAAAATTAATTCAGTAGTTTAGTTTTTAAATCAAAACGACTGTCACAATTGAAGTCAGTTTTTTGGGACGTAATCTTAATTATTGAGTTTGTATGTTATAAACAAATAAACGAATCTTTCTTCTTTATAATAATAATATAGACTTAGACATATTAACAATACAATTATATATATTGACAACATAGATTAAAATAATGAATCTAATATTTGCATCAATTAAGACGTGTACAACAAATAATACGAGCACATTTACACAATAGAGTTCTTAGATAAAAAAAATATATATATATATATATAATAGTTAATATAAAAATCGTAAATAATTTTTTAAATAGTTTTTTTTTATATTATATGTGCATATTATTACAATAATAATTTCATGAAAATATCAATTTTTTGCCTTTATAAAATCTGCAGCTTTTTCAGCGACCATTATTATAGGTACATTAGTGTTACCACTAGTCATGTTAGGAATCACGCTACCGTCCACCACCCTCAATCTCTGCACACCGAATACCTTGAGTCTCCCATCCACGACGGATCCCATGGCACACGTTCCTATGTAGTGATTCATTGTCATAGCCATGCACAGAGCGTAGCATCTCCAGAACTCCTCGCTGTCTGGTTCGTTCGATGCACAATCTGGTGGAATCAAAAATGTTGCATTTACGTCTTGAAAGTAATTCGTCGTCGTTACACGATTAATACGTTCGATATATGAAGCAAGGTTCTCCAAATCAGCAGCATCAGAAAAATAACCAGTGTAAATTTCCGGATAAACGTAAGGATTAATGCTTTGCAACAAGATACGACCTCGTGACTTTGGATGGAGTACAACTGTCTGTGATATCATAACCTCTCTTCCTTTCGCCTGTTTGTAAAAGGTATTACAAATTTCTTTTTTGAAATAATTTGTAAATGCACAGTTTTCTAATAGGTAATCGCTGTCCACTATAAGATTTACTGATTGGTAGTCTGGATATGTTTGTAAGTTATTCACTGTAGCAAAACCCATAACAGTTGGTTGCGGGTATTTGTGGGGGTTTTTAGGTCGTTCAGAAATTTTTTCCAATGCGTAAGTCGATATACCACTTATATGATTTTGTAAATTTTCTCCTACAGGCAAGTCTGCAATTACGTTAATACCTAAATCCTCTAAATGTTTTCTAGGACCAATACCCGACAACATGAGCAACTGTGGAGAATTTATGGCTCCAGCTGACACTATGATCTCCTTGTTTGCTCTTATTGTTATTTTTTCCTTATTTTCTTTGATCGCTTCAATACTAACAGCATTATTATGTTCATCGAAATTGATTTTAGTGACCATAGTATGTTTCAATACATATAAATTAGATCTATTTTTAATCGGTGAGAGGAAGGTTGTGGCTGTGCTCTGTCGATAACCATTAGCTATCGTCAGTAAAGGCTCAGTGAAACCAAGTGTATAATTTCCATTTGTATCTAAAACGATATTATACCCGAGTTCACTGAAAGCTTGTAAATATTTATTTGTTCTTTTCTCATACTGTTTTGTTACTCCTAAGTAGCCTTCGCTACCATGAAATGCTGCACTTGGTGTATTCCAAATGTTTGGATCTTGAAGTCTTTCACTTTTGATAAAATATGGCAGAACATTGTTATAACTCCAGGTATTGTCATTAGTTATTTTTGCCCAATTGTCATAATCGTAGGGATTTCCACGAACATAATACATGTAGTTAATGCTACTGCAACCTCCCAACATTTTCCCTCTTGGTATATCCGAAATGGGGGGTGTGTGACCTTGTTGTGAATAGCCATCATATATTGACGTATAATTCCAATCTTCTGCTGATTGTTTCATATATGGCATCAAACCAGGTAACTGAAATATCGTGATTTTCATTAAGAAAAATATTTTTGTAATAAAAAAAAATAACTATATAATAAAAAAAATGTAATAAAAGAAACTTAAGACTCTTCTTGACCTTAGGTCAAGAAAAGACGAAGCAAGTTATAGAGCAACATACGTCTGATTCTATCGGAGGGTCGCCGCCAGCTTCTACCAGCAAAACTCTCGACGTGGGATCCTCTGTAAGCCTGTTCGCGATCACACAACCTGCAGATCCTGCACCTACTATTACGTAGTCGAATACGTCACCATCTGTGAACAACTGCGATGTGATAACATTTCTGTTTAAAGTTATAAATTTACAGATTGTAATACCATAATATTAAACGTGGAAAAAGTGTCTGACTGAAAGAGCGTATAATAACTGCAATTTCTAAATAAATAAATAATACACAATGATTTTTGTGAATTGTATGGATTATTGCTTCCCAAGAAGAAATTATTTGCTCTACAGAAAACAATAGCTTCATCGTCACAAATTTAATATGTTTAACACGTGAGTAAATATTGTTGATTGCAAAAAGAAATCATAAAATTGATTCAGAATTGATGACGTAAATGTGTAATAGGCACAAAATATGGTATACGCACACATATAATATGGCCTTGGCGAAAAGTATTTGCCACCCTGAACATTCTTAGAAATTTCTTATCTACTGACCTATATTGGATCTATTGTCGTATAGTACACGTTTAAAAGTTTAAATTAGCCAATCAAAACAAAACACCATATCATAAAACTAGAAACACAATAGAGGTGACTCTTTCCAGGTAAGTCAAATTTTAGGGAAATTTTTAGTTTATTCATCATAGTGTAAAGAACTGTTGATAACTTATTGTAAATTGGTTGTAGTATTACGTGAGGTAGTTCATAAAAACACTAGAAAAATGCCTGAACGCCGTGACTTAAGTAAAGAAAAGGGAACGATTAAAAATCCACTTGTTGTCTGAAGAATGCAAAAATAAAAGAGAAATTGCTAAGATTATGAAGTGTCCAAATAGTACCGTTAAGGTTACCTTAAATTGGTACAAGATGATCATAAGACACGAAAACTTAAAACGAAGTGCAAGGAAAAGAATTACATCTGCAAGAAAAGACAGACTATTAATACGAACTTCTTTGAAAAATCGAAAAAAAATTATCTGAATAGGCTGCTGAATTAAGCGAGAAGCTGGGGAAAAAGATTTCTGTTAAAACTGTTAGAAGAAGGCTCCAGAATCCTGCGCTCAGAGGTTGCAAGGCAAGAAAGAAGCCATGGTGGTTTGAGAAGAACAAGAACTTACGTTTGCAGTGGTATTTAGAACATTAACGTTATACCGAGGAAGATTGGGCGAATATAGTTTAGTCGAATGAATCCAAATTTGAGGTATGTCATTTAAACGATTAAACATAAATTAAAGACATTTGAGATTTATTTAAGTTCAAGTTTGTTTAAGTGTTCAATAACAGACGTATTTTCAAAAATCATATTATTTTATTAAATTTCAGGTATTTGGTACTGCAGGTGTCACCTACGCGAAACACAGAGTTGGTGAAGAATTCATACCGGAGTATGTGATGCTGACTGTAAAACATGGCGGAGGCAGTGCTATGGTCTGGGACTGTATGTCTGTCTCAGGAATTGGAAAAATAGTCGAACGGAAGGCCGAATGGATTCGAAAAAATATATGGAGGTATTGAAATCCTCATTGGACATGATTTTCGATGATACGAACCTAGGTGGCGTCTGTTTCTAACAGAATAATGCCCCATACCATAAGCCCATAACCACTATGAGTTGGTTTGAGAAAAATGGTATAGAGCTTCTAAGTTGGCCACCTCAGTCAGCGGATCTTAACTCTATCGAACATTTATGGTTGATTTTAAAGCGTAAGATAAAGGAACATTCGGTTATTTCCAAAGAAACTTTAAAGAAACGTTTGATACAGGAATGGAATGAATGAATGGAAAAATGTAAAAATTTATTTTTCATTTTTACCAAAAAAAAATGCAGTTATTAAAGCTAAAGCTTTCAATACGAAATATTAATGTAATTTTAGAATTAAAGGTGTTTTAAGTACATGGTTTTTTCCCCGTGTAAACCTTATAAGTTAATTGTAATGTTCTAGGGTGGCAAATACTTTTGCCCAAGACTATAATATGGTACTACATATAAAACACATATACATAAGATTTATAATTCACAACTTAGAATATTAAAACTAATAATAAAAAAAAAATAAAGTAATATTTAATGAAAGATTCTTAAAATTATTTTTAAAGGGTTATAGGTGTCGTAAGAGGCGACATGTATTTCTGTTGTGAATCAGCTGAGCTTGCATGACTGTGTTTCAGTGTGAAGGGTGAAATATGGCTGTGAAATTATTGGGGACGGAGGCATAACATCTTAGTTCTCAGGAATGGCAACGCATGAGGGGTACCTTGGCTATATTAGTGTATTCTGTAATGCCAGTGGTTATTTATGTTTTTTTGGGCGACAGTTACCACTTTCCATCAGGCGGACCGTCAATTTGATTGCCATTTTAAATGTCATAAAAAAATACACAAGGGATAGAGAAATATAGTGAATATTAAAAAAGTGAATGTTTTATTATATGGAGCAATCAATACTGACCATAAATCAGCGCTTGTTCAGGATACAGGTACGACGTGAGGTGCAGAGTAGTGGCCAACAGGTGCAAAACGTTTTGCGTCCATGTTATATTAGCTATTTCTGATACTGAAGCGTCCATAACGAGTGTATTGGTAATAGATAATGGTTACTGACATCAGCTACCTTTATACCTCATTCGTGCAGATAATTATAACTACGTTCAACCTGAACAAACAAAATATTTGTAGCGAGATATTTTTGCAAATTGCCATGTGGCTAATTATTTAACAAATCCATCAATCTAACACATGTATAAAGTACACGTACAGTAAAGTATCTGTACTACATCTGATTTTACAGGGGAAGGTTATTATAACTTTCTACTTATTTATTTCAACTACTTTTGGGCTTATTTTTATAAAGAGAGTAATAATTAATGTGTTCGAAGTCTTGATATTATTTCAGCTATTAACTGTCCACTGCTGGATATAAGCCTTTCTCATTAAGGGGAGTTTTGCTAGTAGTTGCCACGCTTGGCAGGCGGGTTGGCAACTGCAGTTAGACTTTTACAATGTGTTTCAGTAAAAGCCTAACTGACACCTACGGGAAAGGAAGGGGTGGCCTATTCTATGCCGGGACCACACGGTGTCTTGATAACAATAGATTATTGTAAATGTTATTAATTCACTTGTTACGACAATTACGCGGATTTGATTTGACCATGAACTGATGAAAATGGTGTCTAATAATAAAACATGTGGAATTGAAATCATGCAAGTAATAATGTTACAAAATAATATTTAATATTAAAAAATAAATTTTATGACTTATAAAATGTGTTCAAAGGCTTTATCTCATACAATTAAATAAATAACTGAAAATCAAAATGTAACTTTTTCTCTGAATCTCTTCAAATTATAAACATTGATGATTGATGATAATGTCAAAAGTAATAATAAAAATAAAGCCCTTTATTAGGATTTGCGTAATGTAACTAGTCTGGCCAAAAATATTGTTACATAAAAACTTTTATTTTTTTCAACTTTTTAATTATTTTGAATTTGGAACACGTATATTATTTTAAAAACTTCTTTCGATTTCGCGCCCTTTACATTTTTTTTCGTGTTCATTATCAAATTACAATATGGAATGGGGTATTAAAGAAAATAGGATTGCAATGATCGCCTTACACAAAGTGGGTATGGAGCCGTCAGTCATATTCCAGATACTTCAAAAGCTTGGTATCAGCCGTATGTTCGTATATCGTACTATCAACAGATACAACAACACTTCCTCTGTCGATGACTAGAAAAGATCGGGGGCAGCCGCGTTAATGATGAGGCTATTTACACGCTCATCCAGCATTAATTATTAGATGTACACAACAATTAATATGCTCACTTTCACACAAAAATGGCGTTCCTAAATTTAAAAGAAATTATAATAGGAAATGTAATAATCATAAGTAGTTTTTCAAATACTTCTTTATATTATATCTACTTATTATTAGAATAATAATTTAATAAAAAATATCAATTTCCTGCCTTTATAAAATCTGCAGCTTTTTCAGCGATCATTATTATAGGTACATTAGTGTTACCACTAGTCATGTTAGGAATCACGCTAGCGTCCACCACCCTCAATCTCTGCACACCGAATACTTTGAGTCTCCCATCCACCACAGATCCCATGGCACACGTTCCTATGTAGTGATTCATTGGCATAGCCATGCACAGAGCGTAACATCTCCAGAACTCCTTGCTGCCTGGTTCGTTCGATGCACAATCTGGTGGAATCAAAAACGTTGCATTTACCTCTTGAAAGTAATTCGTCGTCATTACACAATTAACACGTTCCATATATGAAGCAAGGTTCTCCAAATCAGAAGCATCAGAAAAATAACCAGTGAATATTTCCGGATAAACATAAGGATTGATGTTTCGCAACAAGATACGACCTCGTGATTTTGGATGAAGTACAATTGTCTGTGATATCATAACCTCTCTTCCTTTTGCCTCTTTGTAAAAGATATTACAAATTTCTTTTTTGAAACCATTTGTAAATGCACAACTTTGTAATAGATCCTCGCTATCCACTATAAGATTAATTGATTGGTAGTCTGGATATGTTTGTAAGTTATCCACTGTAGCAAAACCCATAACAGTTGGTTGTGGATGTTTGTGGGGGTCTTTAGGTCGTTTAGGAGTTTTTTCTAATGCATAAGTCGATATACCACTTATATGATTTTGTAAATTTTCTCCTACAGGCAAGTCTGCGATTACGTTAATACCTAAATCCTCTAAATGTTTCCTAGGACCGATGCCCGACAACATGAGCAACTGTGGAGAATTTATGGTTCCAGCTGACACTATGATCTCCTTGTTTGCTCTTATTGTTATTTTTTTCTTATTTTCTTTGATCGCATCAATACTAACGGCGTTATTGTCTTCATCAAAATTAATTTTAGTGACCAGAGTATTTTTTAAAACATGTAAATTAGATCTATTTTTAATAGGCGAGAGGAACGTTTTGGCTGTGCTTTGTCGATAACCATTAACCATCGTGAGCAAAGGCTCAGTGAAACCAAGTGTATAATTTCCATTTGTATCTAAAACGACATTATACCCGAGCTCACTAAAAACTTGTAAATATTTGTTTGTTCTTTTCTCAAACTGTTTTGTCACTCCTAAGTAACCTTCGCTACCATGAAATGCTGCATTTGGTGTATTCCAAATTTTTGAATTTTGAAGTCTTTCACTTTTGATAAAATATGGTAGAACATTGTTATAACTCCAGGTGTTGTCATTAGTTATATTTGCCCAATTGTCATAATCATACGGATTTCCTCGAACATAATACATGTAGTTCATGCTACTGCAACCTCCCAGCATTTTCCCTCTTGGTATATCAGAAACGGGAGGTGTGTGACATTGTTGTGAATATCCGTCGTATACTGACGTATAATTCCAATCTTCTGCTGATTGTTTCATATATGACATCAAGCCAGGCAACTGAAATATCGTGATTTTTATTAAAAATACTATTTTAATAAAAGAAAGGATTATTTAATAAACAAATGTAATAAAAGAAATATAAATTATACAGTATAAGATCAAGAAGAGCGAGATCAAGCAATAGAACAACTTACGCCAGATTCTATCGGAGGGTCACCCCCAGCTTCTATCAGTAAGACTTTCGACGTGGGATCTTCTGTGAGCCTGTTCGCGATCACACAACCCGCAGTACCTGCACCCACTACTATGTAGTCGAATACGTCACCATCTGTAAACAACTACGATGGGATAATATTTAGGTTTAAAGTTATTAAATTTATAGATTTTAAAACCCTACCATTATATGAGGACAAAGTTACTGATAGAGCGTACAAGAGCTATAATTGTTAAATGTATATATACGACACAATGGTTTGTGTGAATTGTATAGATTTTCGCTTCACAGGAAGCAATTGTTTGCTTTGCAGAAAACAGTAGCTTCAATCATCGTGAGTAAACTTTATTGATTGCAAAAAGGATTGAGAAAATCGACACAGAATCTTTCTATCAGGTGGGCCGTTAACTTCTCTGCCATTCTAAGTGTTAAAAAAATACATGAGGGATAGATAAGTATAGTGAATATTAAAATAGTGAATGACTTATTATAGGGAACAATCAATACTGACCATGAATCAGCGCTTGCTCAGGATACAGGTACGACGTGAGATGCAGAGTAGTGGCCAACACGTGTAAAGCGTTTTGAGTCCATGTTATATTAGCTATTTCTGATACTGAAGCGTCCATAACGAGTGTATTGGTGTGATAGTAGTTACTGACATCAGTTACCTTTATACCTCATTCATGCAGATGACTATTAATAACTTCAACTTGAATAAACAATTTAATGCAAAATATTCGTAGCGAGACATTTATGCAAATTGACATGTGGCATTATTTAACAGTACAGTCGATGTGAATTATTTTTACACCTTACATAATTCTAAAGGGACACTATATAAAGGTGTTTTCTTATGTATCTACCTACTTTGGTTATGTCTCTGTCTGAAAGGTGAGTTTAATAACAATAATAAAGTTAATTTAACAAAACAGTAGGCAGACAGAATATACATCATACAGATATTTGCAGAAATGAAACCTGTTGTTTGTTAAAAAGGTGCCAATGACAATGGAATGGTAACCCCGCCTGAGCTAACAGTATATGCTGACAGGGCACCAGTGAGGGATGATAGGTGAGAATGAAAAGGCAGGTCAGTTAGCCCATCGTGATGAATATGCCAGGAATTCAGTACGATGGTTTCAAGGGGGACAGCGTGGAGGTCCACCTGACAGGGTGAATTGCTAGCAATAGGACTGGTAATCCGCATTACTAACACTCCATTCCCTTCAATTAATATGAGGGTTAGGATCGTTAGTTTGGGGAGGATAGTTTAGATCTTAAAGACTGTTAATCTGTGATTTTTCTTCTTTTTTATGCTTAAGATGGTATAGTTTATGTCCGGCACCAAACCCCCTTAAGCTCCCCACTCTGTTGCCTTTCCCTCGACCATTAAATTTCTTTATTCGGTTCTTACAACACCCACGAGGAAGGAAGGGATGGCCGGGACCACACGGCAATAATATATATTGTACATATGTAAATATTATACAAGTAATTGTTAAGGAAAGTGGCTGATTTACATAGTAATTATGTTAGCACATGTGAAAACGAAAGTAGAAATATGAGGCTTAGGCTGGGCTCGGGTTCTAGGTCCCATCTAAGAAGTTTGCAGATCATAAAATTATATAATCTCACCTTGACTGCAGATTTAGTGTAAGTGGTACTCGCTCAGCATGCACCAGGGTTCATGAAGCTACGACACGTAAATATCACAATGGCGTCGATCTGTTTTAGTCTTTTAGTATAACCACATTATGTATAAGGCATATTATTACGATACTTGGAAGCGATTAATAGGGAATGTCCGGGGGGTTCAGGAGTTCTCTACACAGTAGGTACGTTGCTTTTTTTTGGGAGAAAACGGGGTTACCATATATCCCGCCTGCGATAACGGGATATGCTGGCGGAGCACCAGTGTAGGGTGATAGATGAGAATGAAAACAGGCCAGTTAGCCCATCATGATGAATTCATCAGGAATTAACCATGATAGTTTCCAGGGAGAACCGCGAGGAGGTCGACCTGGTTGGGTATATTGCTAGCAATGGGATTCTCAGTCTCCATTACTAACAATCCCTTTCCCCCAGTAGCTACGTTGTTGATAACGGCAGGCACAAAGAAAAACAAATCGTTGTACAGCGTTTCGCGGTACACTACACTACACTGTGCAGACCATTTTGTCTGTTCATCTTAAGTCAGGGGAAATTGTAGAATATAATGCGTTTGGAGAATATTATAAATTTTATAGCGATGTGATTTTCTTAAACAGTGATCATTATATAAAATAGTAAAATAAATAAAAACTCAAATTTCAAATTTTCAAACTCAAACCATTAATGCTTTGTAATTTATTTTGCAAATAATTGTAATTATAATTCAGTTAAACTTTATTATCTGCCTTTATAAAATCTGCAGCTTTTTCGCCAATCATAATAATAGGAGCATTAACGTTTCCACTAGTCATTGCGGGAATAACGCTCCCATCTGCCACCCTCAATTTCTGCACACCTAATACTCTCAGTCGCCCATCCACTACAGATCCTATTGCACAGGTTCCTATGTAGTGATTGGCTGGTGTTGCCATGCACAGTATTTGACATTTCCAGAATTCCTCGCTATCTGGTTCGAGCAAAGCACAACTTGGTGGAATCAAAAATTTTGCGTTCATCTCCTTGAAGTAACTTGTATTCATTAAACGATAGACATCTTGTGTGTATGTAATGAGATTCTTCAAATCTGCATTGTGAGTAAAGTAATCCGTGTAAATCAGCGGGTAATCAAGAGGATTCACGCTTTGTAACAAAATACGACCATGAGATTTCGGATGAAGCAGAGTTGTTAACGAAATCATAACCTCCCTTCCTCTCACTTGTTCGTAAAAAGCATCACAAAGTTCATTCTTGAAATAATAGAAAAAAGCACATTTTTGCAATAGATCGTCGTCATTCATGATGTTGCTGGCGGTTTGATAATCCGGATATAATTGTGATTTATTCATGGCGACAAAACCGTAAATGGTTGGTACTGAGTGTTTGTGGGGACTTGGAGGTTCAGTAGAGCTGTGTCTTTCTCCCAATGCATATACTGATATACTCATCATATGGTTTTGCAAATTCTCTCCTACAGGTAAGTTTGAGATAACATTAATATTTAAATCCTCTAAATGTTTCTTAGGACCTACACCAGACAACATAAGTAACTGTGCAGAATTTATAGTTCCAGCTGATACAATGATTTCTTTGTTTGCTTTTATTGCTATTCTTTCGTTATTTTCTTTAATCGCATCAATACTAACGGCGTTATTGTCTTTATCAAAATTAATTTTAGTGACCAGAGTATTTTTTAAAACATGTAAATTGGGTCTATTTTTAATAGGCGAGAGGAACGCTGTGGCCGTGCTTTGTCGAGAATCATTAGCAATCGTTAGCATTGGTTCATTGAAGCCAAGCGTATAATTTCCATTTGTGTCAAACACGACATCAAATCCGAGTTCACTAAAAGCATTAAGATATTTATTAGTTATATTGGAATACTGTTTAGTGACTCCTAGGTAACCGTCTTTACCATGAAAGCGTGCATTTGGTGTATTCCAAATGTTTGGATCTTGATTTTTTTCACTTTTTATAAAATATGGAAGGACATTATTATATTTCCAAGTGTCGTCATTGGTTATTGTTGCCCAATTGTCATAGTCGTGAGGGTTAGCTCGGACATAGTACATATTGTTGCTACTACTGCAACCTCCCAGCATTTTCCCTCTCGTTATATCTGCTACGGGAGGCGTGTGACATTCTTGTGAGTATCCATCGTATACTGATGTGTAATTCCAATCTTCTTGTGCGTGTATTGTATATATTTGTAAGGCCGGTAACTGAAATATTACAAAGCTTTTAAAATTTTGTAAACGTAAACACTGTAATATTGTAGTATTATTAGTACGTAATAAATGACTATAGTATTTAGGGTCCGTCATGTCATGAGATTTTCAAAATATGACGGTATATCCATATCTCAAACGACTCCAGTTTCTTCACTGTGTTCGGTGCGAGAGTTCATGTCTCTATGCTTTACAAGAGCACAGAGAATATTTAAATCTCAGCTAGTAAATATATATAATAGTCTAAGATCCCATTGCTTATTTCTGTAGGTTTAAGACTTTTTTTTTATTAAATTTGGTTAAAATGAAAGATGGGTGAAAGTGTATTATAATTGCATCAGGGTTGTCTGCTCGCAGTTAGTTACAATCTAAGGTTGACTAGGTTGCAGTTTCAATCCTGACACAATACAAATATTTGTATTTTTTTTTTTTTATTTATATTAATTTGAAAACTTTCTCTAAGAATAAGAAGAATTTCTATAATAATAAAATAATATTTTTTTATTCATGTAAACTTAATTACAAGTATTTTTGAATAGTAATTTTTTTTTTAATCCAACTCAATTTTAGCTGTACTTGTTTATAATTCTACCACTTAACGGAATGCAATTTCGGCTGAGAAGAAAAGACTGACAAGAAATTTAACAGTTGCTTTTTTTCAACAAAAGACGATTTTATATGTAATAAGTATTTCTTACTTAATGGTTAAGGGATAGGTAGAAGTGTCCTTTTTAAAACATCACCAAAGTTTAACTACGGTTGCCAAAACGTCTGCTAAGTGCGGCAGTTGCTGGCAAAACCCTATTTAAGGTGGCGGTCTATGTTCAGCAGTGGACAGTTAACAGCTGATATGATAAAAAAGTATGTATTTACAACAAAATCAGTTTTTTTACAAAATTGGTAGTAAAGTACACAGCTGAAAGGCTTTTGCTTTACTGGCTTTTGGCCACAACAGAATATCAGCGTTTTGCTCTTTTGAGGGCAAAGCAGTAAACTGAGTTGTGACCACTTTGTGTTCCTGTGGCGCACTCACGAGAAATTGTGTAACCTCTTTTATGTACTTTCTTTTTGTTTTTTTTTTCTTTCTATATGTTTTGTTTTATTTCTTTCAATATTTAACAGTAGCTAATAGTTAATAAAAAGTTTATTTGTGTGCAGTAAGTGATGCAAATAAATTATCTATCTATCTATCTATAAAAACTAATTGTAGAACGGGTTTAAGTCCTGTTCAGATTGAGACTAGAAAGAACTGCAAAAAAAATATTTATTATTAGTTTTTATCAAGGACCATAAAATTATTTCGAAGCAATAAAAATTATATATAATACAATATTCTATGGCTGGATCGCTAGTCAACAAAATACCTCATTTATTATAAATTATGCTGCAAAAGATATAAGTATATAACTCTCTAAAAGCAATGAAATTTGTTTTATTACCAGTTTTATTATGTGCCATAATTGCTTTAGTGGTATTTTTCCATGTTTCTATAATTTTTTTTTAAATAGAATTTTATAGCTAAACTAAGCGTCATTAACTTGTTTTAACATTTATTGGTTCACGTTTATATAATAAAATAAACAAACTATCAGAATTTAAACTCGAATTTGAACCAGAGGAAGACTTTGTAGCGTGAAGCAGTTATGTTTGCATGGCTGTGTTTCGGTTTGAAGGGTGGGATATGGTAGTGAATTTAGAGGGTACAGAGGAATAACACCTGAATCCTTCAGGAATGGCAACGCATGGGGGGTATCATGTGCGAAACAGTATACTCTGTTATGTCCATGGTACTACTCATGTCTATAGGCGACAGTTACCACTTTTCATCAGGCCATTCTAAATATATTTTATTACATCAATATGATATTTCATCATCATATGCCTGTTTGTCTGTCTACTGATAAACTCCCCCACAATTAGGGGTTGCCAGTAGTTGCCATGCTTGGCAGGCGGGTTAGTAACCGCAGTTAGGATTTGGTGATATTTTAAGAAAGTCGCTCCTGCCTATCCTTCGTCTATTAAGTTCTCTTAGTCGCCTCTCACGACACCCACTGGAAAGAAAGGGGTGGCCCATTCAATGCTGGGACAACACAATAATATGATATTTACCTCTCTTCTACTCATATTTCTATCAATTGATTAATTTTACTGTCATAGTGTACGTGGGTATTGCACTGTTACTGTTAGGTATGAATAAAGAAAAAGTAGAAGAAACGGTAGAAGTATTATCCAAAGTTTACACCAAAAATTTCCTAGTTCATTGAACGATTAAACACCAAGAAATTAAAAAACTCACATCTGATTCTAGAGGGGGATCACCGCCAGCTTCTACCAGCAAGACTCTCGACGTAGGATCCTCTGTGAGCCTGTTCGCGATCACACAACCAGCAGATCCTGCACCCACTACTATGTAGTCGAATACGTCACCATCTGGAACGAAGTTAGATTCTAAATATTCTATTTTTGAAATTAATACCGGTAAGGTGAGAGTTAAACTCACATGCCGAGGGTTCCGTATAAAAAAATGAAATAAAATGATTTTATCTAGAAATGAGTTCATTAAATAATGAAAATATTTTTTATTCGAGTAAACTTAATTATCCCATTAAATATATAAGTTTGAAAAAGGGAGCCAACTCCATATGCGTGGTTGTTGACTTCATCGGCAAAAGAATTAAGATATAAATGGGTGCCAATGAGAGGGGGGAGGGATTGTTAATAATGGAGATTAAGGGTCCCATTGCTAGCAATATACCAAACCAGGTCGACCTCCACGTGGTCCCCCTGGAAACCATCGTACTGAATTCCAGGTTTATTCATCACGATGAGCTAACTGACCTGTCTTTTCATTCTCACCAATCATCCCTCACTGGTGCCCCGCCAGTATACGAGTATACCGTTAACGCAGGCGGGGTACCATTCCATCATCATCCATTAAAAAAATGGGTGCCAATTCCTTATCTAATCCTGTAATACAGTTAAAAGAATATACAACATAATAACATAAATTTAGAGCACAATTTCCTGTTTTTTTTCTGTTTTTTACCATTCCAATGTTTGATATCATTAATTATTCATCATTTATAAATGATAAACGACTGACGAATCGTCCTATCTTTTGGTTGCGTATAAGGTCAGCTAAGCGGTCGTACGTCGACCCATTGGGATCTTTTTTTTTTTACAACTTAGAATGGCAAACAAGCTGACGGTCCACCTGATGGAAAGTGGTAACCGTCGCCTATAGACATGAGCAGTACCATGGACATAACAGCGTATACTGTTTCGCCCATGATACCCCCCATGCGTTGCCATTCCTGAGGACTCAAGTGTTATGTCTCTGTACTCAGTAAATTCACGCCATATCCCACCGTTCAAACCGAAACACAGCCATGCAAACAACTGCTTCACGGTTGAAAACCGAATGGGACAGAGGTACCCAAGCAATCGACTTTTGTACAAAGTCTCCCTCTGTGCTTCCCCCTGCCTTATACTATCGTTTTATAGATCCTATGTGTTACTTTTGCGATATCCCACAGTTTAAGATATCTACAATGTCCATGCTCTGGATAAGTCGTTCTCAGTAGATGAGCCAGCGTGGCCAGATGAGATAGCGTGGGCGTGGTTACCATTGCATTTTTTCACGAATTTAATCAACACAATTTATATAATCATCGAAGTCCTGATGATTATTAATTATATCTAAGCAAAATGTTGTGAAATACGTAAAAATTTTGCTATTACAATTTTGATAGGCGTTACGTGTTAAAAAAATCGAGCGTTGAAAAATATTTCAAATCATAAAAATTCACTGCTTTCTGATGTTTTTTCTATATATATATATATGTATGATTCATTATATGCTGGCGGGGTACTACAGCTCAGTTAGACCATCGTGATGAATTCAAGTATTAACCACGATGATTTCCAGGGGGTTTTTTTTGGTGGGTGAAAATGGTATGGTAACCCCGCCTGCGCTAACGGAATACGCTGGCGGAGCACCAGTGAAGGATGATAGATGAGAATGAAAACAGGCCAGTTAGCCCATCATGATGAATTCATCAGGAATTAATCATGATAGTTTCCAGGGGGAACCGCGAGGAGGTCGACCTGGTTGTGTATATTGCTAGCAATGGGATTCTCAGTCTCCATTATTAACAATCCCTTTCCCCCTGATTTCCAGGGGTTGTCGCGTGGAGGTTGAGCTGATAGAGTATTTTATTGGCAACAAATATCAATGATCAACCTGGGGTCTAACAATACATCTGGGGGAATAGAATCATTAGTAATGGGGTCTATCAGTCCCATTGCTAGCAATATATCCTATTCGATATATTATATAGGTCGACCTTCACGTGGCCCACTCTGGAAACTATCGTGCTGAATTCCTGGTGTACTCATCACGATGGGCTAACTGAACTGCCCTTTTATCCTCACTTATCACTCCTCACTGGTGCCCCGCCTGTGTATACCGTTAGTGCAGGCAGTATTGCCATTTCATTGAAAAAAAAAAGCACTTGGGCGGTAATGGTGACCCGTCAACACTTACCATGGACTAAGGCCTGTTCTGGATACATGTACGACGTCAGCTGCAGAGTAGTGGCCAATACTCGCAAAGCGCTTTGCGTCCATTTTACACTAGCTATTTGTGACGTACTGTTCATGACGGCAACTCGGATAGGAATGTTAATTCACAATGTAAATTATAAGTAAAAATATTTAAAATGTGTCGAAGCATTTACATGTACGGGAGTGCATTAATAAAGTTTACTACTTAACACTGTATAGACGCGGTTCGATTATATACTAAAGTTAATTTTTTAAAAGATCCCTTATAATATTATTTTCTGAGTTGGTTAAGCAAGTTTCCCTATTGAGATCTTCTCTTGCGTTGAGACTGCTCAAGATGTTAAAAACAAGTATCCACAACTAGACATATTTGGTTTCAATTTGCTGGAGTTTCACAGGATGGCCATAGATTTATTTAAAATATAGAATTAATTAAGTTAAAATATAGAATTTTATTTATATTATTGTTATATATACGGGTAAACGCAGTGTAGGACGACCCCCCCCCCCCTAGATGGAGTGCCGACCTGAAATGCGTTTTTTTTGTAATGGGTGATAATGGAATGGTAACCCCACCCGCGCTATCGGTATACACCGGCGGGGCATTCCACTATCATCTATTAAAAAAAATCGAATGATTGACCGTTGAGATGAAACTGAGGGTGGGATATGGCGTGAATTTACAGGGTACACAGGAATAACACGTGAGTCCTCAGGAATGGCAACGCATGGGAGGTTACATGGGCGAAACAGTATACTCTGTTATGTCCATGGTACTGCTCATGTCTATAGGCGACGGTTACCACTTTCCATCAGGTGGGCTTGTAATTTTTAATCGTCCTGACTGGCATTTGAACGGTTTAATTTTTTATTTTTATGACAACCGTGAAACACTGTAAATGCATATAGCTTTATAAAATAGAAATAAAGGTTGTGTTCCACAGGAAAATTTACTTCAATTGAGACAAAATTTTCTTTTAAAAACTAAACTGACTGATTGTTGTATAGATAAAGAAAGAAAAAATCAGATAGAAAAAGAATTATCCAAATCGGTTTACAACTGACGGAGTTCTGAGGTAACAAGCATAGAAAAAAAAACCGAATTGAGAACCTCCTTTTTTTGAGTCGGTTGAAAATAGTGCACTCTTGCTTTATATGATACGGTGTGAATTTTAAAATATTTCGTTTTTCTTTCTGCATTCATATTATAGTTTTTTCAGTTTCAGTTTCCCGTGGGTGTCGTAAGAGGCGACTAAGGGAACTCTGTGGTCGAGGCATGGGCAGTAGCGTCCTACTTAATACATCGTCAAAAATAGCGGCCTGTCCCGGCTTCCCACGGGTGGACATTTTTACATTTTAAAAAGAGGCCATTAAGGCTGCACACGCGACGGAAGCTTAAAAATGAAGTAACTTATCCCGTTTTCCCAACATTTCCCTTCACTGCTCTGCTCCTATTGATCTTAGCGTGATGAAAAGTACAAACTATAACCTGCCCAGGAGTATGAGGAATAATAATTGTACCAAGTTTCGTTAAAATCCGTCGAGTAGTTTTTGTTTCTATAACGATCATACAGACAGACAGACAGACAGACAAAAATTTTACTGATTGCATTTTTGGCATCAGTATTGATCACTAATCACCCCCTGATAGTTATTTTGGTAATATATTTCATGTACAGAATTGACCTCTCTACAGATTTATTATAAGTATAGATTGTACACAAAATATAATGTTAACCACAATTCATTTTAAACATAATACACAACAGGCGAGCTTATCTTTACTAATATAATATAATAATTTAATAAAGATTAACTGCAATTGTCAATACGTCTGCCAAGCGTGGCAACTTTTTTTTTTATACAACTTAGAATGGCAAACAAGCTGACGGTCCACCTGATGGAAAGTGGTAATCGTCGCCTATAGACATGAGCAGTACCATGGACATAACAAAGTATACTGTTTCGCCCATGATACCCCCTATGTGTTGCCATTCCTGAGGATTCAGGTGTTATTTCTCTGTACCCAGTAAATTAACGCTATATCCCACCCTTCAAACCGAAACACAGCCATGCAAACACAACTGCTTCACGGTAGAAACACGAATGGGACAGAGGTGCCCAAGCAATCGACTTTTGTACAAAGTCTCCCTCTGATAAAGCATGTATTGCATCATTGTTTGCAAGGTGCTTGATATTTTCCATCAATCATTGCAATGTTACATTGAGGCTGCCAATTTGTTACTTTAAATTTATAGCCGTCATTCCTTTAATGTATATAATATCGAATGTTGTGCAGAGCAGTTGTTGGAGTGCAAATTTAATGCCGTTCTATGTAATATTTATTTTATTAATGTATTAATTTGTAATCTGTTGCCTTGCTATAAATAAATAAATGAATAAATAAATGAATAAATAAATATCGTCATCATCATTAACGTTAACTGTCTATTGCTAAACATAGGCCTCTTTCATAAAAGGAGTTTTGCTAGTAGTTGCCACGTTTGGCAATATTTATAAATTTGCTAATATTATAGAGGTGGCAGTTTGTGAAGGTTGTAAAAATTGCAAGGTATAAAGTAAAATAATTGATTTGGTCCCAAAACAAATAAATACTGATTTCGAATCGCAACATAATTAGGTAATTTGATTTAAAAACTAAACTGCTGAATCGATTCTGATAAAATTTCTATGGAACCAATCTGGAAATATATGTAAAAATTCTTTCTTTATCTGAAGTAAAGAAAGAATTTTTCCAATCGGTTTAGAACGGATTATGGGGTAAGAAACATAAAAAAATATACCACCGAAAATATAAAACCTTCTTTTTTTAGAAGTAATTTGAAAATAATAAATTTAAAAACATACTTTCATCTATCCAAAAGATATTTGTGTAAATAAATAAATTGACCAAAAAGGAAATAGTACTAAAGGCGAACTTAATAAACGCAGTACTTTATTATTAGAAGATATTAGCAGTCAATAATATATGCCTATAGGGGGGAAAGGGATTGTTAGTAATGGAGACTGAGAATCCCATTGCTAGCAATATACCCAACCAGGTCGACCTCCTCGCGGTTCCCCCTGGAAACTATCATGGTTAATTCCTGACGAATTCATCATGATGGGCTAACTGGCCTGTTTTCATTCTCATCTATCACCCTTCACTGGTGCTCCGCCAGCGTATTCCGTTAGCGCAGGTGGGGTTACCATACCAGTTTCACCCATAAAAAAAAATGCCTATACATAATAGATAATGTATATTATCGATCTACATACATGTGGCATGGGCTATATTATATATAAAAAAAAAAAATGGAGATCTACTAAGAAATAGAGATCTAGGCATGCATGTTCCGGGGCAGGTGGCATCAATAAAAATATATAACAGATTGCCAGAAACACTAAAAAATGAAGAAAGTGACAATATTTTTGCAAGAAGTCTCAAAAAGTTATTAATGACTAAATGCTACTATACTATTGATGCATACTTGAATGACAAGCAGAATTTATCTTGTAATTTATAAATAAATAACTAATTATGAATTGATAATGATTTAAGACATAGCTAAAACTGACATTGCTGCAATTATTAAATTATTATTAAATTATTTATTAATTAATTTTACAATATGAATATAAATAATTATTAACTACAGAATATATTAAATAACTATATAATACTAATAACAATTACGATATGAATAGAAAAACTCCAATACTTAAATAATGAATAATAATAATAGTAAGAAAATACATACCTATCGTGATACAATTTCAATGACTGGATAATATTGTAACAGATCCTTAGACTATTTCTAAAGTAAAAAAAGTGTTGTCCTCCTCTCTCCTACTTGCTGTGCCCAACAGGGTCCATAATTGAAATGTTATCAGTAGATAACATTTCAATTATGGATATGGATAATTAGTAAATTATATTATGGAATGCAATAGGAAATAAATAATTAAATAAATAAAAGAACAATCACTTTTTCTGACAGTCACTCGCATTTTTATTATTTGCATTCCATTTGCGCTGCACGCGTTGCTAATCACGCGGTGTTGCCAGCTTGCAAACTTCTAAAACAGAAATATTTCCATCGCTTCGCTCCAATAAATATTCGACTGTATTGCTAGCTTCTCGATCCCAACAATATTTGGTTATACAGTAGAATTTCCATTTTTTTTTTTATATCACCGAGGTAAACAAGCATGCGGCCTACCTGACCGGTTACCGTAGCCTATGAACGCCTGCAACACCAAGGGTATTACGCGCGCGTTGCCGACCCTGAAAAAACACATGCTCTAGTTTCTTGGGAAAACCTCGGCATGGAGCTCATTCCATAACCTGAGAGTTCGAGGGAGAAAACACCTCTGCACCGCGTTGTACGCGACCATTTAGGCTGTAAGGTATGAGGGTGAACTCCCTGTCGATGACGAGCCGTACGATAGTAGAAAGTTGTCGTGGACATTATATTGAATAATTCCTCTGAGCACAATCCGTTGTACAAACGGTAGAACTCGCAGAAACAAAATCTCTCCTAAGACTTAAGGGTTCGATACCGTTTGTAAGCTTGGGATCATCGATAATTCTCATAGCTCGTCGTTGCATTGAGTCGAAGGGTTTCAAGCTGGTATCTAGATGCTCCCGCCTATAAGTGACAGCAATATTCCATGTGGGGCCAGATTTGCGATTTGTAGAGCATTAATCGTTGATCCGGCGTGAAGTAATGCTTCGCTTTATTAAGCACACCGAGTTTTTTTGGATGCCAGTTTCACCTTATCTCGATTATCCGAAACAAATAAAACCAGGGGTATTCCGTAAAATTAAAAAAAAGAATAATCGATTTCAAAGTCATATCAAACAATATGTAATTTCTTAGATAATACGATATAAAAAATTACGAGCGATAAAGATAATGCATTACGTAATACCTATTTACTCAATTAATGCTCCTTTCCACTCATGGTTTGCTGAAAGAGAATTCTTACAGAGTTAAGCTCGCCTGTTGTATATCCTTATTTAAAATAAATTATAACAATGTTAAGGGCAAAAGAGGAAGAGGAAGACCGAGGATTAACTACATGGGACAGATAAAGGAAACACTAGGCGTCATGTCGTATAGGGAGATAAAGGATATGGCCTGGGATAGAGCTGGCTGGAGGAAGATGCATGAATTAGTTGCACCGACAAGAGGTAACTCTTAAATGAAAATGAATGAATTTTTATAAAGTACAAGTAATCACAACGGATTGTGCTCAGAGGAATTATTCAATATGATGCCTACGGCCACTTTTTATCATCGTACGGCTCGCCATCGACAGGGAGTTCACCCTCATACCTTACAGCCTAAATGGTCGCGTACAACGCGGTTTCAGAGATGCTTTCTCCCACGAACACTCAGGTTATGGAATGAGCTCCCTGCCGAGGTTTTCCCGAGAGACTACAGCATGGGGTTCTTCAAAAGGGGGGTAAAGAGGTTTCTTCAGGGTCGGCAACGCGCGCGTAATACCTCTGGTATTGCAGGCGTTCATAGGCTACGGTAACCGCTTACCATCAGGTGGGCCGTATGCTTGTTTGCCACCACAGTTGTATAAAAAAAAAATTTGTAATGTATAAGTAAAAAAATAAATAGTTTTTCAAATATTTTTATATTAAATTACTTATTAATTTTATATAAAATTACAAAAAGTTTAATGAGAATATGAATTTTCTGCCTTTATAAAATCTGCAGCTTTTTCAGCGACCATTATTATAGGTACATTAGTGTTACCACTAGTCATGTTAGGAATCACGCTACCGTCCACCACCCTCAATCTCTGCACATCAAACACCTTGAGTCTCCCATCCACGACGGATCCCATGGCGCATGTTCCTATGTAGTGATTCATTGGCATAGCCATGCACAGAGCGTAACATCTCCAGAACTCTTCGCTGTCTGGTTCGTTCGATATACAATCTGGTGGAATCAAAAATGTTGCATTTACGCCTTGAAAGTAACTCGTCATCATTACTCGATTAACGTGTTCGATATATAAAGCAAGGTTCTCCAAATCAGCAGCATCAGAAAAATAACCAGTGAAAATTTCCGGATGAACAGAAGGATTGATGCTTCGCAACAAGATCCGACCCCGTGACTTTGGATGGAGTACAACTGTCTGTGATATCATAACCTCTCTTCCTTTTGCCTGTTTGTAAAAGGTATTACAAATTTCTTTTTTGAAACTATTTGTAAATGCACAGTTTTCTAATAGGTAATCGCTGTCCACTATAAGATTAACTGATTGGTAGTCTGGATATACTTGTAAGTTACTCATTGTAGCGAAACCCATAACAGTTGGTTGGGGATATTTATGGGGGTTTTTAGATTGTTCAGGAATCTTTTCCAATGCATAAGTCGATATACCACTTATATGATTTTGCAAATTTTCTCCTACAGGCAAATCTGCGATTACATTAATATTTAAATCCTCTAAATGTTTTTTAGGACCGATGCCCGACAACATGAGCAACTGTGGAGAATTTATGGCTCCAGCTGACACTATGATCTCCTTGTTTGCACTTATTGTTATTTTTTCCTTATTTTCTTTGATCGCTTCAATACTAACAGCAGAATTATATTCATCGAAATTGATTTTAGTGACCAGAGTATGTTTCAAAACATATAAATTAGATCTATTTTCAATAGGCGAGAGGAACGTTTTGGCTGTGCTTTGTCGATAACCATTAGCCATCGTTAGTAAAGGCTCAGTGAAACCAAGTGTATAATTTCCATTTGTATCTAAAACGACATTATACCCGAGCTCACTAAAAGCTTGTAAATATTTATTTGTTCTTTTCTCATACTGTTTTGTTACTCCTAAGTAGCCTTCGCTACTATGAAATGCTGCATTTGGTGTATTCCAAATATTTGGATCTTGGAGTCTTTCACTTTTGATAAAATATGGTAGAACATTGTTATAACTCCAGGTATCGTCATTAGTTATGCTTGCCCAATTGTCATAATCGTAGGGATTTCCTCGAACATAATACATGTAGTTCATGCTACTGCAACCTCCCAGCATTTTCCCTCTTGGTATATTAGTAACGGGAGGTGTGTGATATTGTTGTGAATATCTGTCGTATACCGACGTATAATTCCAATCTTCTGCTGATTGTTTCATATATGACATCAAACCAGGCAACTGAAATAAAGTGTTTTTATTATTACGTGTTTTTGTTAATAAGTGAAATAGTATACTTTATTATATCCATGATACTGTTCATGAGTACAGTCGAAGGTCAAGTATAGATCACTCTCCATCAGGTGGGTCGTGAGCTTGTTTATCACTCTAAGTTGTATAATAAATATTTAATAAAAGAAACTTAAAATAAGTTGTGTAAGACCAAGAACAGATGAACCAAGTTATAAACTTACATCTGATTCTAGAGGAGGATCACCGCCAGCTTCTACCAGCAAGACTCTCGACATAGGATCCTCTGTGAGCCTGTTCGCGATCACACAACCAGTAGATCCTGCACCCACTACTATGTAGTCGAATACGTCACCATCTGGAACGAAGCTATATTCTAAATATTCCGTATTTAAAATTAACACCGGTAAGGTGAGAGCTTAACTTACATGCCGAGGGTTCCGTATAAAAAATGAAATAAAATGATCTTATGTGCAAATGAGTTCATGAAATAACGAAAATATTTTTTATTCAAGTAAACTTAATTATCCCATTAAATATATAAATTTGAAAAAGGAAGCCAACTCCATATGCGTGGTTGTTGACTTCATTGGCAAAAGAATTAAGATATAAATGGGTGCCAATTACTTAGTCAATCCTGTAGTTCAGTTAAAGTTATTACATCATCCTAGTTTGGATTAGCACTTGGACGGTAATGGTCAGCGGTCAACACTTACCATGGACTATGGCCTGTTCTGGATACATGTACGACGTCAGCTGCAGAGTAGTGGCCAATACTTGCAAAGCGCTTTGCGTCCATTTTATACTAGCTATTTTTGACGTACTGTTCATGATGGCTACTCGGATAGGAATGTTAATTCACAATGTATATAAATTATAAGTAAAAATATTTAAAATGTGTCGAAGCATTTATAGGGAGTGCATTAATAAAGTTTACTACTTAACACTGCATAGACGCGGTTCGATTATATACTAAAGTTATTTTTTTAAGTCGTCCTTTATTGTTCACAGAATGATCCAAGCAAGCTCCCCATTGTTTTCTCATTGTGATCATTTCTTGTAATTATTTATATTTATAATAAGTTTACTGTTGTAATCTTTTGGAGGAAACAATAAAGAGTATCTATCTATCTATCTTTTGCATTGCGACTACTCAATAATTTTACGAGCTGGTATCCAAAATTAGATGGAGTTTTGTCCGATGCCAATGGAATATTCATGGTTAGCTAGTAAAAATATATTATTTTATTTCTATTACTGTCATATACATATTATTACTTGTATCGCTTTGTATTGTTTCATATTCGTTTAATTAATATTGCTTGTATTTTTTATTTCTATTGAAGTATTTATTTTTGTACTCTTACTTTCCTGGGTGAGCATACTGGGAACCTGTAAAGGTCATCTAATTGATTCAATATGTCATCCCCATAAAACAGCAGCTTTTAATGGTAGCTTCCGATATCAAGCCACAAAATGTTGGAAAAAATATACCACCTTCCATGAGACTGATCCGCACTAAGTCTAGTTTCAAAATTAATTTAAAAAAAATTCTTAATTGAGAGGCAAAAGATAGATAATCCACCATGTTACCTATATGCTCCAATTGTCTGCTAGAAAGACTGTCATATTTGTCTCTTTACTGTATAGATAATCTGGTAGTATTATTTTATTGTTACCCTATTCTCTTTGGCCGCAACAGAATATCAGTGCTTTGCTCTTTTGAGGGCGAAGCGAAATAAACTGAGTTGTGACCATTTTGTATTGTTATGGAACGCGCATAAAAGAAAAAATTGTACTTGGCTTTATGTACTTTTTTTTAACCATTTATGTTATTTATGTAAATCTGTATATGCTATAATTTGTGTGGTGTAAGTAATGCAAATAAATTATCTATCTATCAATGAATAAATAAATAATTAGCAGTAAATTATTTATCTCTATTCAACCGGCTTCAAAAAGAAAGGGCTTCTCAATTCAGCTGTAGTTTTTTTTAAATTTATTACCCCATAACTACGTCAGTTGTAAACCGATTTGGAAAATTTTGGAAAATTTGAAAAAAAAAAACTAATACAGATTGATCTCATACACAGTTTATCAAAATCGATTTAGTAAGTCTGAAGTTAAATAAAGTAGTCAATCAATATTCAAGTACGGTACACATATGTACTTGTAACTTTATATTGCCACGACTGGCATTTGAACGGTTTAATTTTTATTACAATCGTGAAATATTAAATATATAATTAGCTTCATAAAATAAAAATAATTAAAGATTGTGTACCGTAAAAAATTGACGTCAAATGTGGCAATAATTTCTATGGAACTAATCTGTAAGTATATCGTTTCAGATAAAAAAAAAATTTCCAAATCGGTTTTTACAACTGACGGAGTTATGAGGTAACAAATATATAAAACAAAATACAACCGAAATGAAAACCTCCTTTGTTTCGAAGTAAGTTGAAACTAGCGAATTGTTGCTTTTTAACAAGCTACATATATTAATTTTAGAATTTTTCTGCGTTCATATTTCAATTTCTTCAGCAGAGTATTAGTAGATTTCATTTCGTTAAGCGATACTGTGTTTATTGTGATAGGCAAAGAAATTTTGAATTCGTCTCGATTTTGGTAAACAATGGATCATGTTAAAAATTTTCAAAATTGCCTTTACACGTAGACAGTATTGTTGAAATTGCAGATTTGTATGTTTGAAGTTTAAAAAAATCATTAAATAAAGATTGTCTCTAAAGTAATGTAACAAATACAATACTTGCTAAAAGTAATTAAAATTTGTCATAAAAATAATGAATTAGAAGATTTAAATGTAAGATGTTTTAGAAACGGCGAATTAATACAATATTTCATAGTTTTTATTACTTTTAAAATCCGTTTACGATACAAATTTAGTTAGAAAACATGTTTTCTGATTTTATGAAATCAGCAGCTTTTTCACTCATCATAATAATGGGAGCATTAATGTTGCCACTGGTTATAGCAGGCATTACGCTACCATCTACTACTCTCAACCTCTTCACTCCGAACACCCTTAGTCTCGCGTCGACAACGGATCCCATTGAGCAGGTTCCTACGTAATGATAAATTGACGTTGCCAAGCACAGAGCGTGACATTTCCAATAATCCTTGCTACCTAGTTTATACGATAAACAATCTTTTAAACTAAAAAATGTTGCATTCACCTCCTTGAAGTAATTCGTAGACATCACTCGATAAACATCTTCAATATATGCAGCAAGATTATTTAAATCTACAGCTTTGGAAAGATGGCGCGTATAAATTTGTGGATATTCATAAGGGTTTATGCTTCGTAACAAAATACGACCACGAGATTTTGGACGAAGCAGTATTGTCTGCGAAATCATAATCTCTCTACCTTTTGCTAGTTTATGAAAATTGTTACAAATATCGTTTTTGAAGGAACAAGTAAATGCGCAAAATTGTAAAAGACCATCTACATCTGTGATAATATTGAACGTTTGGTAGTCTGGATTTAGTTGTGATTTATTCAAAGCAACTTGGCCAACAACAGTTGGCAATGGAGTGTGAGGATTTTTGGGTGCTTGCGAATTGTTCACTCTTTCTGTTGCATAAACTGAGATACTAGTTATATGGTCTTGCAAATTTTCTCCCACAGGTAAATCTGAAATAACGTTAATACTTAAATCCTCTAAATGTTTTCTGGGACCGATACCCGACAACATAAGTAATTGTGCAGAATTTATAGTTCCAGCTGATACTATGATTTCTTTCTTCGCTATTATTGTCACATTTTCATTATTTTCTTTGATCGCATCAATACTAACAGCATTGTTGTGTTCATCAAAATTTATTTTAGTGACCAGAGTGTTTTTCAAAACATATAAATTGCGTCTATTCTTAATAGGTGAGAGAAACGCAGTAGCCGTGCTTTGCCGAGTGCCATTAGCTACGGTTAACATAGGCTCAGTAAAGCCAAGAGTAAAATTTCCATTTGAATCGAAAACAATTTTAAATCCAAGCTCACTAAAAGCCTTAAGATATTTATTTGTTACGTTAGCATATTGTCTCGTGACCCCTAAGTAACCATCTTTTCCATGAAAGCATGCAGTTGGTGTATTCCAAATATTTGGATCTTGAAGTTTTTCACTTTTGATAAAATATGGAAGAACATTTTTATAATTCCAGGTATCATCGTTAATTATATTTGCCCAGTTGTCATAATCGTAGGGATTCGCTCGAACATAATACATATTATTATTGCTACTGCAACCTCCCAGCATTTTCCCTCTTGTTATTTCATCAACGGGTGGTGTGTGACATTGTTGTGAATATTCGTCGTATACTGAAGTATAATTCCAGTCGTCTCGTGTATGTTTCAAATATGGCAGTAATCCAGGAAGCTGAAATATTTTTATGTTTTTTTTAGTAAGGTATTTTTAACTAAAAAATTATGTAGGTACATTATTAAAAAATATTGTCAAATTATCCGACCATTTGTTTTTACCAACGTTTTAAATACACTATCTGGACATAATGCGATAAAAAACTGCAAGTAAATAGTACCTGCATACCTGCTTTTTTATTGCCGACGTTTCGACATGGACGTTTTTAGGCTGTTCCATCGTTATGCACGACCTCAAACATGACTTATTGGATGATAATTTTAATGAAGTCCCAAGCATGAAGCAAGAGACAATCCTTGTTAAAATATATAAACTTGATAATTGAGAAGTTTATGTTAAGCTTCGATATTGGGACTCTGGACTTCAGTCAAACGTTGCTCGATCGATTTGTCTATATATTTGTCAGGGTATTTGAGCCAAAAAAAATAATTTACTGAAATGAGAGAGTAAGCAATAGAGTCACTCACGCTTGATTCTAGAGGAGGATCACCGCCAGCTTCTACCAGCAAGACTCTCGACGTAGGATCCTCTGTGAGCCTGTTCGCGATCACACAACCAGCAGATCCTGCACCCACTACTATGTAGTCGAATACGTCACCATCTGGAGTAAAGGCCCAATTCTATATGTCTCTTTACAAATTTTATTAATATTATAAATGCAAAAGTTTTTAATGATGGATGGAGGGATATTTGTTACTATTTTACGTAAAAACTACGTAATATTCTTTTACGTAATAATTTGAACAAAATTTTATATACGGTTTGTTTATATCTTAGTATATGCAAGCCATGGGATAGAACTAGTTAACGTTAAAAAAATTACATACTAATCTTGTCATTACTGTCATTTACAATAATCACGGTTAGTTCTTGGTAAATTTGTTACAATAAGTAAATTGATTTTACTTCATTCTGACTATCATTCCTTAGATATATCCCGTGAACGTAATAGTGTAGGTTATTTCTTCTACATATATAAAAAAAAATTGAAAGGTAAATATGTAAATTAAAATTTATTCAAATTAAAGTAATCAAATTAAAGGCTAGATAAATTTTTATCTATTGAGAAGAGCCCGCAAGAGACTTAACAGTTTAACTACGTTAACAGAGATTTAAAAGAAAACTGTTAAGTTTGCAAGGAAAAACAGCAGCTTCAATTGTTGCAAAATTAAAATAGGGCAAACACGAAAATAAACCCTATTAATTGAAACATAAAATTCAGTTCCGACAACTATGTGATTGCCACAAAAGTTACTGATGAATTGAGGATCACCTTTGTTTTGTAAGTTGCCAAAACTCACCATAAACCAAAGCCTGTTCCGGATACAGATAGGATGTTAGATGTAAGGTGGCAGTCAATACTTGCAAAGCGTTTTGAGTCAATTTTATATTAGCTATTGTTGCTGATGTAGCGTCCATGTTGGATAATTGGTTAATAGTGAATGCTACTTCCTAATATAAATTAGGATTAGGTTCAATGTTTTTCAATGATGTCTTATTAATTAAGTTTCCAAGTTGTTAGAGTGAGACCTTGAGATAAAATTTAATTTTTGAATTTTATCTATTTAGTATTCTAAAACCTAAAATGTTCTTTTACACCATTTGCCTCGAATCTGAGGTGCCAAAACTTTTTCTAATTCTTACTAATGTTATAAATGTGAAAGCGAGTTTTTTGTTTGTTTGTTTATCTCTTAGTGTCTTAATGACTGAACCGATTACTATGATAAGTACTATATGCGATAAAGAAGGACAAAGAGTATTTTTTATCTCGGTCAGTGAAACATTTTTTTTTGGTGGATGAAAATGGAATGGTGACCCCGCCTGCGCTAACGGGATACGCTGGCGGAGCACCAGTGAAGGGTGATAGATGAGAATGAAAACAGGCGAGTTAGCCTATCATGATGAATTCATCAGGAATTAACCATGATAGTTTCCAGGAGGAACTACGAGGAGCACGACCTGGTTGGGCATAAAAGTATTAGTTTGGTATGGGCACCTGAATATCCCTAACAGGCAAGACTTATAATGGGTGATTTAACTGGACTTATGCCCGTAAAACATAGTATATGCTTTACTGGCATAAGTGTATAGTAATACAAGATGGGTCTGTCTTCGAACACACTGTGCAGATTGTGTGGTAAGAAATCGGATTCCATGGAACACTTAACGTGCAACTAAGTATGCGTTTTTTAGGTTGAAAATGGCATGGTAACCCTGCCTGCGCTATCGGTATACCACGGCGGGGTACCAGTGAGAGGTGATAGGTGAGGATGAAAAGGTAGGTCAGTTAGCCCATCGTGACATATTTAATGATAAATTAGTCACGATAGTATCCAGGGGGAACCGCGTGTAGGTCGATCTGATAGGGTATTTTGATAGCAATGGGAGCTAACCTCCCCATTACTAACAATCCTTTCCCCCGCTTATTTAGTTAGCGGACTTTAAATATTTTAAAATGCGGGATATTATAAGCGCTACACATAGGATCGATAAAATGATGGTATAAGGCAGGGGAAGCACAAACGATCTCGATGCCTAATCCCTATTAGCTGAATACGCGAAAAAAAGATAAGATACCGATGAGTGAACGCATTTCGGATACGCAGACGAAGTTGTTGGTCAAAGCTAACTAATTTATAAGTGATATCCATAATGATGATGATGATGATGATGATGATGACGATGATGAAACATAAAACATACAATTGAATTGAGAACATCCTATTTTTTTTTAAATTATGTTTTATTATCCTGTACATGCGGTGAACGCGTCGAGTTTATCAATTTAAATTATTCAATATTTAAAAATATGTTAATGCGTGTTTAAAATTTGTGAATATTTTAACATAACGTCATTGTATCGAATGAGTACTATTTATTTTAATAATTGGAAATAATAATTAGACAATTGTAGATAGCGAGACGTTCCGAACTCTACGTTAGATTATGCGAGGTGTAATGTAAATAATCCGTAACATTTCCGTGTTCTACGAGTAACATTTAACATTTTTCTATTAGTCGAATTAACTATAGGTCTACAAATGATAAGAGGGAGACTTTGTACAAAAGTCGATTGCTTGGGTACTTCTGTCCCATTCGTGTTTTTACCGTGAAGCAGTTGTGTCTGCATGGCTGTGTTTTGGTTTATAGGATGGGACATAGCGTGAATTTACAGGGTACAAAGGAATAACACCTGAGTCCTCAGGAATGGCAACGCATGGGGGGTATCATGTACGAAACAGTAAACTCTATTATGTTCATGGTACTGCTCATGTCTATAGGCGACGGTTACCACGTCCCATCAGGTGGGCCGTCAGCTTGTTTGCCATTCTAAGTTGTATAAAAAAAAAAGATAAGAATTTTTTTGGGGTTCTTCAAAAAAAGGGTAATGAGGTTTCTTCAGGAAGGGCAATGTGTGCGTAATGCCCCTGGTATTGCAGGCGTTCATAGGCTACGGTAACCGTTTACCATCAGGTGGGCGGTATGCTTGTTGACCACTTTAGTAGTATAAAAAAGCCAGCCAAGTGCGAGTCGAACTCGCGCAACGAAGGTTCCGGTCAAAATCATCAAGTAAAATTTTTTTTGTGAACTATCAATTTACGGTTTTTGGATTTTTTCCTTTACTTGTGCTACATGACATTATTTCTTGCCAAATTTTATGATTTAAGGTCAACGGGAAGTACCCTATAGGTTTCGATTCCTTTTGCGAATGGCAAAATATGCGATATAAATGGAACATAAACGACCGTACCTTTTCATTGCGTCGATTTAGATGCTTGATTTTTTCACTGCTTTAAGAGATTGCAGACCTGAGTATATGATATTAATTTCAACTTGATATCTCTACACGTTCTAAGAAAAAAGGTCTTGACAGAAGGACGGACGGATGAACAACGAAATGATCCTATATGGGTTCCGTTTTTTTCTTAGGAAGTAAGGAACCCTAAAATAAGGAACTTTAAGCCACGGCGCCTCTAGCTATCAATCACTAATAGAATCTTAAAATATTTTGATCTGTATACTGAAAGAGTACTTCAGTAATCGTAAAAGAAAAAGATATATCAATCATATATATATATATATATATATATACGAGTATATATATATATATATATATATATTAGTGGCAAATAAGTATATGGCCTGTCCAATGGTAAACAGGGTTATCGTAGCATATGGACGCCAGTAACATCAGGGATGTTACAGGGATGACGCACATTTCGGACCCTTAAGAATCCTTAATACGCCCTTTTCGGAGAACCCTTTTGAACATATATTGACTTTATAAACAGCTATTGTATTAAATAATCAATCGGTCTTTATGTGTGAATTTTGAAGAATTATTAAATAGAAGTCAAATGAAAGTTGTTTCTAAAGCAACAAAACAGATATAAATATAGAAAAAGATCTTTAATGAGAAGTTATAAATATAAGTATTCTAGGAATAAGGAATTACTAGGAATTTCATATTTTTCATTATGTTCTATTAAATAAGTTAAATTTAGTTGAATAATTTGTTTTTTGAATTTATAAAATCAGCAGTTTTTTTTACTCACCATAATAATGGAAGCATTAGTGTTGCCACTGGTTAAAATGAGCAGTACGTTACCATCTACCATCCTTGCTATTTCTTCAATTCCATAAAAACTTTTACATTTACAAAACATTTTTTTTATGCAACTTATAATGGCAAACAAACTGACGGCCTACCTGTTGGAAAGTGGTAACCGTCGCCTGTAGACATGAGCAGTACCACGGACATAACAGAGTATACTGTTTCGCCCATGAGACCACCCATGCGTTGCCATACATAAAAATATTAATAAATACTACTCACGTACATATGTATACGTAAAACACAAAGTTATAAAAGCTTTAAATTAATATTAAGCTTTAAAACTAGCCAGACATTTTATGTTTCGTACAGAAACTGGTAAACTATTCCACAGCCGTACAGCTTGCACCGTGAACGATTTGTCGTAAAAACTAGAAAAATGTACTGGAGTCTTCAGCTGGAGGCCCTCAAAAGATCTCTTATCTCGTTTTTATGATTGCATAGCCAGTCTGCTGATACGTGTGTACCCTATACTATTTTATAGTTTATACATTGCCTTCAAGCTGTGTAGGCAGGGGGCTAGTGGCGGCGAGGGCGGACCAAATTTACCGCATGATTGATTCCTTTGACTATTGAATGCGATGCGTAAGCGTAAATCTCTACTGAACTTGTTGGGGATTATATCCATACTTTATTATATTTAATAATTGACTAGCTTCATTTAGTTGGAACAGTTCCTTTCCCGTGGGTGTCGTAAGAGGCGACTAAAGGAAGTTAAAGGAATGGAGATGATGGAGATAGGAGGGATTATAATACAAATTTGGCGGTTTGGTAACCGCAAAATTTTATTATTTTCATAGATGGTAATAGCATGGTAACCCCGCTTGCGCTATCGGTATACACTGGCGGGGCACCAGTGATGAGGTGAGGATGAAGCATGTCAGTTGACCCATCGTAATTAATTCATCAAAAAATAACCACTATGGTTTCCAAGGGAAACCGCGTGGAGGTCGACCTGTTAAGGTATATTGCTAGTAATGAATCTGCTAGATCTCACTATTAACAATCCCTCTCTCTGCTGGTAACTGCAGTTAGGCTTTAGTGATGTTTTAAGAAGGACGCTGCTGCCCATCCCTCCACCATTAAGCTCACTTAGTCGTCTACGGTATCCATGGGAAAGGAATGGGTGGCCTATACTATGCCGGGACCACATGGCATAACACCTTAATCCTCAGAAATTGCAACGCTTGAGGGATACCATGGGCGGCACAGTGTATTGTGTGTGATCATGATGTGTCTGTAGGCGACGATTTAATTAATTATTCCAAATTATCTTATATAATAAACTGCAATTAAAGGATGTTTGAACATATTTCATCTTGAAGGGAACTTAGGAGCAAATACCACACATACGAAGCAACGGGCAATAAGCAAATGTAAAAATAAAAAAGAAGTACAAAAAACAATTAAGTATTAAGTCTCTATCAAGTATTGATCTATTTGTTATCACAGAAAATGTTTATTCATAAATTTCAAGCTTTATTTTTTGGCAACAATAAAAAGTAACTAAGACTGTATAAAAACAAATCTGTTTCTAATTAAAATTTGTCATCGCCTTTCCTAAATTATAATTACAAATAAGATGGCGGTAATCAAAGACAAATTTACATTTACATTGGGTTTTAATATAAAAAAAAAAAAAAAAAAAAAATGATCAAGTAAGTTCCACAATCAAACCGACTTCAATTGTGAAAAAATCTATTATTTGTACTTCAAAATTAACTATTACCTTGTACTCCATTAATCCACGATGACCTACTGCTGGGTAAAGGATTCTCCCAACTCCTTTCAAAACTTTCTGACACCAACTCAAACTAGACCCTATTGGGGGGAAAGGGATTGTTAGTAATGGAGACTGAGAATCCCATTGCTAGCAATATATACAACCAGGTCGACCTCCTCGCGGTTCGCCCTGGAAACTATCATGGTTAATTCCTGATGAATTCATCATGATGTGCTAACTGGCCTGTTTTCATTCTCACCTATCACCCTTCACTGGTGCTCCGCCAGCGTATCCCGTTAGCGCAGGCGGGGTTACCATTCCATTCTCACCATTAAAAAAAAACTAGACCTTTTAAATGCGTGTAGGTCATAACTTCATCGCTTCGTAAACCGTCCTCGGCGATGCTGTCCTTCAGTAGGCTCGATGGAGGATCTTGCCCACTTTTCGGGACCCGTATGGCTAATGTGACTCGGCCAATCCCACTTAAGTTTGGTTGACTTCTGACCTACGTCTTTAAAGCCAGTTTCGAGACGAAGTATAAGCATATTATATGCTATCAGACAAAAAAACAATTTTCCAAATCGGTTTATAACTGACGGAGTTATTAGGTAACAAACATAAAAAATCGCCGTATATACTCCGGCATAGACTAGTATAATCACTACGTAGTATAAAACAAAATCGCTGTCGCTGTCTGTCCCTATGTATGCTTATATCTTAAAAACTACGCAACGGATTTTGAAGCGGTTTTTTTAATAGATAAAATGATTCAAGATAGGTTTATATGTATAATACATGCATAATATTGTAGAGAAACACTGACAAATTTAGAGATTTCTAATGTGATGTCGTAAATAAACACATTTTTTAGCATTTCACCCGTGCGAAGCTGGGGCGGGCTGCTTGTATAATATGTTCTAAAAGTAATAGGCGAGAAATATAATTCGCCTATAATTGGGCATTTTATTTAGATGCTGATCTAGTCGGCTGCGTCAAATCTGAGTGAATTGCTTTAATTAAATTAATTTACTTTTTTTTACTAACATAGTTTGTAAGAAAATTGTTACTAACAAAATGGACCAAATTGTAGTCTGTATAATAAAGTATATTATTATTATTATAGTTCAGCCCTTCCTTTCCTGTGGGCGTCGTAAGGGGCGACTAAGGGAACTTACGATCGAGGGCAGCAGAGTCACTCTTAAAACACCTTTAAAAGGCTAACTGCGGTTGCCAACCTGTCTGCTAAGCGTGGTAATTACTGACAAAATCCCAAAGGAAAGGACAAAGGAAGGCTTATGTTCAGCAGTTAACAGTTAATGCCTGATATGACAGATAGATATACAATTTATTTGCATTACTTACATCACACAAAGAAACATATTTTTTTTCCTTTCGTGCGTGTGCCATAACATCACAAAATGGTCACAACTCAGTGTATCGCTTTGCTTTCAAAAGAGCAAAACGCTGACACGATGGTGATGAAACATAAGAAAAAATATATATGCAATCGAAATTAGAATTGTCTTTATTTTGAAAATGGTTAAAAGCAATAAAAAAATCCGTTACCGGTAGAACCGGTAAATGATTGACTTATCAGCGAATGAAAATACAAACAGCAATTCGGTTGAGCGCGTTCGAAATTCTATATTCGAATATTTCGAACCGTTCCCTCAACACGCAGTTTGCGGCAGTAGAACCCGGGTAATTACTACACAAAATGTCGCGCTCGGTGACCTCCGTGGCAACATCGGTCGGGTGCTTTAAGCGGGAATGTGTAAAAAAGTATTAAAAAAATATATGAAAAAAAAGCGACTTCAGTCTTGACAAAATAGACAGATATTTTTTTTGTTTATTTTTTTTTAATTGATGATACCGGAATGGTAACACCGCCTGTGCTACCGATGTATGCTGACGAGGCATTAGTAAGGGTTGATAGGTGAGAGAATGAAAAGGCAGGTCAGTTTGAAGGGTTTGGAAGTTTCGGTTTGAAGGGTGGGATATGGCGTGAATTTACAGGGTACAGAGGAATAACACCTGAGACCTCAGGAATGGCAACGCATGGGGGGTGTCTTAGGTGAAACAGTATACTCTGTTATGTGCATAGTACTGCTCATGTTTATAGGCGACGGTTACCACTTTCCATCAGGTGGGCCGTCAGCTTGTTTGCCATTCTAAGTCGTATAAAAAAAAAAAAACTTATGGGAAAGGCTTATGTTCAGCGGTGGACAATTAACGGCTTATATACTAAATACTAATATAGTATTTATTATCATGATGGATTTGATATGGATGGATTCTTCAAAAGGGGGGTAAAGAGGTTTCTTCAGGGTCGGCAACGCGCGCGTAGTACCTCACCTCTGGTATTGCAGGCGTTCATAGGCTACGGTAACCACTTACCATCAGGTGAGCCGTATGCTTGTTTGCTACCTCAGTGGTATAAAAAAAGGCTTGTTTGCCACTATTGTAGTATAAAAAAAAAAATATCAATCTTTTCCGGACAGGTTTCGATTCTTTAAGAACGTTAAATAGAATTTACTTCTAGTGTCACTTCTACCAAGTATTCTTTATTTCTGTGTTACAAACTAGTAGTTTCAAATGTTAATTTCTACCGCAGACATGGATCCAAGCCGTGCGGCTCCCCATTAATTTTAATGGCAAATCACCCGATAAATCAATTAGCTAATGACCCATCGGCAATTAATAGCCATGGGTCACTAAATATTGACGAGCAATTAAAGATTTCAGTTGCTATTCGATTGTAGATATTCTTAGTACTGTCCATTGATCCATTTAGATGAAAGAATTATATTAATTAATGCATAGATGGAGAATGGAATGTTGACCTCGCCAGCACTATTAGTCGGGGGGAAAGGGATTGTTAGCAATGGAGTTTGACAGCCTTATTGCTAGCAATATACCATATTAGGTCGACCTCCACGTGGTTCCCCCTGGAAACCATCGTGAACAATTCTTGTTGAATTCGTCACGATGGGTTAACTGACCTGTTTCATCCTCATCTATCATCCTTCACTGGTGCCCCGCCGGTGTATATCGATAGCGCGGGTGGGGTTACCATTCCAATATCATCCATTTTAAAAGCACTATTAGTCAAGAATGTTAGTGAGGGATGTTTTTTTTTTATAGCTGATAATGAAATAGTAATCCCGCTTGCGCTAACGGTTTACGCTGGCGGGGCACCAGTGAGATATGATAGGTGAGAATGAAAAGGTCAGTTAGCCCATCGTGATGACGATGATTTCCAAGGGGGACCTCGTGGAGGTCGAACTGACAGGATATATTATAACAATCCCTTCCTCCTCACGTTCGTATTTGTACAGGCTATATAATACTTGCAAGTAGGCTCTGTTTCAAATTTAGAAGATTTTCGATCTGCAAAGAAATATATCGGTTTCATTAATGATATAAACGATAGTAAACCATGCAGTTTGCATAAAAAGTATTAAGAACGGTTCGAAATTAGCGACACAATGACATACAATTTCAAATAAAAAACAAACCAATTAAATAGATAATACATTTGAAAGTCGCTTGACAACATATGTAGATTTAGCACGTTCTAACATTGTTGATTCTTTTTCATTTATACAGGTTGCGAAAATAATTTACTTTAATCATATACCAAAATATACTTTTAATACTATATGTGCGCGTGACATCGTCTGAAGACTAAGAATATTACCACTATTCTGATACAGTGATTTATTTGAAAGCAACATTAAGATTTAGTGAATACATTTATAGATAGATAGATAGATAGATAGATAACCTTTATTACCAGTATTAAAAAAATAAAAAATTAAAACAATAAAAAGAAAAAAAAAACAATTAATGTTGCTGGTAATAGGAGCCGCCTCAGCTGTTGCTATATATGTACATCTCCAGCGAGATGTACCTATATAGCGCTGATTTTCAGGCGGCCTCTTAACTCCTTTACCTTTAGCATGCGTGCAGGTCGCCAATACCTATTTCTCGGATGGGAGACTCGACGCGTTTAACAACATTTATCTAAAGTGTGTGTTGTTTATATTTATATATATGTAGATTTATTATTATTTATTATTATTGTATTATTATTATTCACATATGTTGGTGTATACGGTTGCTTTTTATTGTATTATGCGTTCAAATTTAACTAAGAATTATTGCGTTTAGCTGTACGGTTTTTACTCTTAAACATACTATAGTTTCTCTTCAGTTTCTCAAAGGTTGACTGTAAGAGATCCCTCTATAGGCTAAGTCCGCCATTGTATATTAAACCTTTTATTGTGTCCAATGTAAATAATGTACAATAAAGATTTTTCAATTTTACAATAAACAAACAAATTCGTCCCTTTTTTATAATATTAGTGAGTTGTGACGTATATGCATGTATTATGATAAGTATTGGATTTGCGTCCATTTGCATTTAGTTATTTATCATGGACGCTACAAGTACATTATCGCAAATAGCTAAAATAAAATGTACCCAAACCGCTTTACAAGTTCTTGCTACAGCCCTACATCTGACATCATATTTGTATCCAGAACAGGCGCTCGTGAATGGTTAGTGCTGTGTGTGTGTAGTTAGTGTAGTAACTATGTTTTATTTGTGATTGTAAGATCCATGGTTCTTTACCGTAAGATTCCTTTTAATTCCCAAGATGTCGCAGGAAAAGATAAAATAGACAACTTTACCAAATTTTTTGAAGACTATTTCAAAACTGGTTGTTTAAATATCTCTGTCACACGTGCCGTTGTTACGAAGCAGCTGTACTCACATAATTGTGTTACATAAAAGGTTCACGTAGCTATGAACGACCGTTGCCATTTTTCATTCAGGGGAACCGTTTTAGCCTATTGGTCTTTTCAAGTTGTGTACCTTTTTAACGTTCTTTTACATATCTCTGAAGTATCCTTTTCTTCTCCAACATTTTCTCATCCAAAATATCTCAAAGTTTGAAGACGAAGGTCTTTCACCAGTGCGTGTTGCCACTAATGGAACAGACTATACTAAATATACAGAATATACTATGTTTCGGTTTCATAAACAGACTTATGGTACCGAAACAGTCCTACAGGGCTGTCCGTATACAATGGCGTCATATTACTCAGCAAGCTATGCTTGGAGTTTCTCTGCGTGACAGAATGCTAAATGAGGATATCTGTAAAAGAACCAAAGCGAATAATGAAGGATAGCAAGCATGGGCTAGTCACATAGCTCGAAGAAACAATAACCAATGGGGAAGAAATGTTCTTAAGTGGCAACTTCGTATGGGTAATCTAATTCTGGGTTGGCTCCACTCCAGATGGAGTGACGACTTCAAATACATTGCAAGAAGTCAGTGGATATAGATGGCTCAGGACCTTTTCTTATGGTAGCCTCTGGGGGAGGCCTATGTTCAGCGGTGGACAGATAACGGTTGATATGTTAATGATGATCACTATGAAATATTTTGGCATAAGATTTAAATATTTTTAACTTTAAATATTTTCATCATTTTACACTATAGATGGTGATGTATTCGACTACATAGTAGTGGGTGCAGGATCTGCGGGTTGTGTGATCGCGAATAGGCTCACAGAGGATCCTACGTCGAGAGTCTTGCTGGTAGAAGCTGGCGGTGATCCTCCAATAGAATCAGACGTGAGTTGCATTACTGTTTCCAATTTATTCTCTACTTAAAAATAAATTAATCTCTCATTATCATGATTTATTGCTTGGGTACCTCTGTCCCATTCGTGTTTACCAGAGGGAGATTTTGTACAAAAGTCGATTGCTTGGGGACCTCTGTCCCATTTGTGTTGTAATCGTGAAGCAGTTGTGTTTGCATGGCTGTGTTTCGGTTTGAAGGGTGGCATATGACGTGAATTTACTGGGTACAGAGGAATAACACCTGAGTCCTCAGGAATGGCAACGCATGGGGGGTATCATGGGCGAAACATTATACTCTGTTATGTCCACGGTACTGCTCATGTCTATAGGCGACGGTTACCACTTTCCATCAGGTGGGCCGTCAGCTTGTTTGCCATTCTAAGTTGTATGAAAAAAAATACCTGATATTGATGAGGATTTTAATAGTGAAACCCGAGGTATTCATTCAGTATTTAATTTATGATGACCTTTGTGATACGTTGTTTTGCTTAAATGTGGTTCTGGTTTTCGTATTTGCGTCAATTTAAGAAATTAATTTCTTAAAATCTGGTTTCTTTTAATACATTGTATTGTATTTATTTTATTTCTATTGGAATAACTATATAATATTCGATACCGTGCATTGACCTCACACTGTCTCCAAATTGAATTTATATGATTTACAGCTTCCTGGGTGGATGGCTTATTTAAAACAATCACCACAGGATTGGGATTATGCGACAGTATATGATGAATATTCACAACAATGTCATAATCCTCCCTATGCTGAAATAACAAGAGGAAAAATGCTGGGAGGTTGCAGCAGTAACAACTATATGTATTATGTTCGAGGAAACCCTCATGATTATAACACCTGGGCAAACATAACTAACGATGAAACTTGGAAATATGAAAACGTTCTTCCATATTTTATGAAAAGTGAAAAACTTCAAGATTCAAATATTTGGAATACACCATATGCGCGTTTTCATGGAAATGATGGTTATTTAGGAGTCACAAAGCAGTATGCCAATGTAACTAAAAAATATTTAAAGGCATTCAGTGAGCTCGGTTTTGATATCCTTTTTGATACAAATGGGGATGACATCCTTGGTTTCAGTGAACCTATGCTGACAATTGTTAATGGTACTAGACAAAGTACAGCTACAGCTTTTCTCTCGCCTATTAAAAGTAGACCAAATTTGTATGTTTTAAAAAATACTCTGGTTTCCAAAATAAATTTTGATGAACACAATAATGCTGTTAGTATTGATGCAATCAGAGGAAATGTAGAAAAAATAACAATAATAGCAAAGCAAGAAATTATAGTGTCAGCTGGAAGTGTAAATTCTCCGCAGTTGCTCATGTTGTCGGGGATTGGTCCTAAAACACATTTGGAAGATTTAGGAATAAATGTTATCGCTGATTTACCTGTGGGAGATAATTTACAAAATCACATAACAACTATGACTGTTTATGTAATGGGCGAAAAACAAAGTCCTAAAACGCCTAAAGACCCACACGAACATCCAGCAACAACTACAGTAGGTTACGTTGCCATAAATAGATCACAATCATATCCAGACTACCAAATTGCCTGTTACATATTGGATGCCGATACTCTGTTAGAAAATTGTGCATTTTCTTATGCATTCAAAAACGAAATTTGTGACAGCTTTTACAAGAATGCGAAAGGAAAAGAGGTTATGTTGGCGGAGACAATTTTACTCCATCCGAAATCTCGAGGTCGTATTTTGTTGCGAAGCATAAATCCTAATCAACATCCACAAATTTACGCTCGCCACCTCTCTAACGCTGTAGATTTAGATAATCTTGTTACATATACTAAAGATGTTAGTCGTATAATGACTACGAGTTACTTCAAGGAGATGAATGCAACTTTTTTGACTTCACCAGATTGTACATTGTATGAACCTGGTAGTAACGAATTCTGGAGATGTCACACCCTGTGTATGGCAACGCCAACGAATCATTATTCAGGAACCTGTGCTATGGGATCTGTAGTGGATGGCCGACTGAGAGAATTAGGTGTGCAGAAATTAAGGGTTGCAGATGGTAGCGTTATTCCTAAAATTGTAAGCGGGAATATTAATGCTCCCATTATTATGATTGGAGAAAAAGTTGCAGATTTTATAAAAGAAGAAAAGAAATAATGTAATGAAATTGATACTGATAGGCTTTCAGAAGTGAAAATCAGAGCTGTTTTGGGGATTTAAACTGTCCAATGTACTATATTAATACAGGTAACTTTAAACTGTTAGTACTTGATTTATAAAAAAAATACTAATATTATTGTAATTGAAATAGGTAGTTCATTATATTGTTTATTTTTATAAATTAGTTTTTGATTTGGCAAATTTTTATGTCAAATTGTTCTGTCAGTCAATTTGGCAAATTTTCACCACATCCATTAAAAAATGGATAAATTTCTAATTGAACTGTCATATCTTAAAATCATTAAACGAAATTTCTAATGTAAGTAGTATATTCATTTATTTTAACATTTATTATATAAGTAGGTAGGTATTATATGTATTTATAGTGTATGTATTTATGTAATATTTTATTATATATTTCAATATTTTATTCAACTGTATATTTGTTTATGTATTAATAGTTGTAGCACTTCAGCTGCCCGCTAACGACATGCTTTCTTACTGTACTGGCTTGACTGGAAGAGATCTCTGTCAGAGATAAGTCCACCCTTGCTCACAACATTTATAAATAGATTATTTTATATGTAACTTATAAGTGCAATAAAGAATATATATTAAAAAAATCGTATATTCTGTGTTTTTGTTTGATGAGCAATATCATGAATTTGGTTTTAATATTATTATGTTACTAAAATAATAAAATTATAACCAGACGATATCAGTATATGGGATATATTCAAGAAATAATAATGTGTCTTTAATGATAAAATTTGACAAAATGAATATTTATTTATATTTATTAAAATCATTGTCACGTCGTTATTTTATTCTTGCCTGACAATTATTATTATTATTAATTAAAATGTATTTAAAATTGGAATGTGATGACGATTAATTGAATAAAATTTACTTGATATATAATTTTGTACTGTCTGTGTAACTACATATGTTTGTATGCCGTACAGGCTAAACATGTCGAACGTTATTATATTGTCAACATCTGCATATATTTATACGCATGTTTTAAAAATAAATAATCTTGAATCTTGAAAATTCTTAATAAGATCAAGATATATGTAAAAACAATATTTTGTAGAAATTCTGCCACTTTATATCTGTCTATATTTTTGTTTGTTCTGGAATTACGCAAAAACTACTCAATCAAATTGGAAGTGATATTCACTTAATAGAATTAGTCTATTTTATTAGTTTTCCTACTTCTGAAACGCACGCGTACGAAGTAGCTCTCAAACAGCTAGTATAGAGTAATTATACTGTGCCGCTCAAGGTACTCCTCATGAGTGCTATTATTGAATTAAAGTGAAAAACTTCTCACGTCAGAGAATGCGATGTACCAAAAGCTCGATGAATTCAGAGAGTTCCAATCAGCATATATGTGAAACTGATCTGACCACAACTCGGATTGGCAGCTAAGTTGATTAGTTGCATTTAAAGCTAGGTTCATTAGTGAATTGATGCTATATGTACCTAGAACTATAGAAACGAGGATATTGTAGGATTTAATATTAAGGCAGCAAACCATATCGTCATAGTCGTAGAATACTGACGGATCTGACGAATATTACATATATAGATCTGTCAGTATTCTACGACTATGACGATATTGGTGGGAAAAGGATTGTTAGTAATGGGGTTTAAATTGACCCATTGCTAGCAATGCACCTTATCAGCTCGACCTCTATGCTGTTCCCCCTGGAAACCGTCCTGGTTAATTCTAGTGGAATTAGTCACGATGGGCTAACTGACCTGCCTTTTCATCATAACCTGTTATCCCTCACTGGTGCTCCGCCAGGGTATCCTAATAGCGTAAGCGGGGTCACCATTTCATTATCACCCATTAAAAAAAATAAAGCAAGCCATATTAAGAAATTTGGGTAAAAAGAAACATCTATTTTGTGGGCCATATCATCTTTCTTGACTCCCTGAAAATGCAAAAAGATGTCGCGCATAATCTTATATACGATAGTGAGATGATCTCGACCAGTTTTATATTAGCTAGCGATCGTGCGAGATGGAAGCAGTTGGATGATGCTGCTGTCCAGTAGTAGGATATCATAGGTTATGATTGATTGAAAATCAATTACTTGGAGTTTTTTTGGATGATATTCAACATGTGCGAGCTCTGCCTAACTTCGGTGAACCTTTCATTTATATTTTTATTTTCTATTCCCTAGAAAAGCCGAAGTTTTTGAAATATAGAAGGGAGCACTATATAAAATGTTTTCTTAGGACATAAATTTCTTTGAAGATTGGACAAAAATTGCACTTGTTGAGAATAACTTATTTTAATATTTTATTAATCTTTTATGCCATTGATATACACTGGCGGTTACTAGTGAAGGATTAGGCCAGGTGTATTCTTCTCTAATGATCTGTAGAATTGTAGGTGTAGTAGTAGATATACTAAAGTAAGGACACGGATATGTGATCTCGGTCTCCCGAGCCTTTGCAGATTCTGACCAGTATCGGCAGTTACCGCAGTGTCCCCCTTTTCCTTTGCCCAGAAATCTTACATTCCTTTTATACCAAATTTCTTTACTTCATTTCTAACGTACTCTTTCATTTCCCTTGATTCTTTCCTCCATACTACGGTATGGAGGCTACGGATGGCGGATACTAGCTACAAATCTATTCTCAAGGAGTATTGACGTCAGGGAGATGGCCGATTGTAAAACTCAGGTTTTGGCTTTTAGTTTAGTGCATAGTAATATGAATAAAAACATGTTGCACTGACCCCAAATAATTATGATAAGGATAGGAAGATGATAGAGTAATAGTGGAGTATGATAAATAAGGATTAAATAGGCCTGATTGGTTTCCACAGAGACTATGATGAAGTCAATCTGATAGGGTATACCATAGACAATAGAATATAGCAATATGTAGCTATTGTGTGTTTCGAAGAGTTCATATCCCACATTCATATCTTCAATCCAAAACACAGCTATGCCAGCATGGTTGTATTTAAATTGTGGCTTTTAGTGTAATAAACGTGACATGTTTATACTTTTTCAATTTCAACAAGAATCATCTAAAAAATCTATTTTCCTATCTTTTCGTCAATTCACTTGAGGAATACAGAAACAGAAGCGAGTATCAAGGGCTTCAATCTTTACATTTCTTGCTACATGTACTTTGATAAGACAAATTGACGTTTAAAGATTGACTTCTACTAGATTTTCGTGTACAGATCTTCTACGATGCACCTTTGTTGATTTGAAATGGCAAAGGATATTCTCTGTGGTATATCGAATTTGTAATACCATACATTGTCAGCGATATTCCAGACCGAGATACTAGCTCGATCTTCACTTTGTCTCTCGTTTCAGTTCCGTGGTTCAATATAACGAGATGTGGAAAGTGTCTCGTTTGTAGAACTGTAAAGGAAGTTAGACTCTGACCCACTCAAAGGATTGAATAAAGATATTCCTTACTTACTGTTAGTTGTAATGATGTTATAACTATTGAAGAATGCAAGATTTTTCCGCATTTAAGGACTGGTTTTTTCTGGTCTCTGCAACTAATTTATTTTATTAATTTGTTTTTTTTTGTGGTACTGTCTGGTAATTTGTATTCACAGAAATTCAGAATGTATATAATTCAATTTTTAGAAAAAAAAAACAACATATAACTATTTAAAAATGCTCATAATTATTAGTTTTATTTGGATAAAAATATTTTTATTTTATTTAATTTACTGTTAGGAGGTCATTACAAGGTAAAAATGATATAATTTTTTATGGATAAAAATGGAAGGGTAACCACGCCTGAGCTATCGGCATACGTTGGCGGAACACCAATGCGAGATGATAAGTTTGAATGAAAGCAGGCCAATTAGCACTTCGTGATTAATTCAATTTAAAAAAAGGGATAAAGAGGTTTCTTAAAGGTAATGTAGTTAAACAACATGTGCGTAATGCCCCTGGTATTGTAGGCGTTCATAGGCTACGGTAACTGCTTACCATCAGGTGGGCCGTATGTTTTTTGCCACCTCAGTGGTATAAAGAAAAAAAGTATACGTACATCGAGCATCAGGGGGGAGGGGGGGTCGTAGTCATTTAGATTTTCGTACCTAGCAATAATAAGTGCTCATATTAATATGTTTAAATGTAAATAAAATAAATATTGTTTAAATTTCAATGATTTGATTACGTATTTAAGGAGTATACAAGTAAATATGAAACAAACACAGGTGTCATCGATGAATGTTTTCCATTATTTGAACAAGTTCTATGATTTATAAAGCATACCATATTTTTCTATTGTTTTAATAATGTTTCAAATTAAAAGATTTTTTGTTATTTGATGGTTAACAGAAGGTATGATTCACTTGATGAAAAATGGTAACCGACGCATGAAGCTGTGAGTAGCACTATTGATATATATATATATTTTTACTTTGTAATTTTTGTGTCATAAATCTGATTAATATATGAATCAAATCTAATATATGAACCTTTAATCCAAAATTCAAATCGTGAGACTCAGTCATGTTATCTGAAACTCAGTTATGTCAGTTGAAACTCAGTCAAGTAAGTTGAAACTCAGTCATGTAATTTGGAACTCAGTAATATAAGCTGAAACTCAGTCATGTAAGCACAGTTGCTTAGTAATAGAAATACAAGTTAAAAATGCATAATCCTTTAGACGATATTGTATACAGTTTCTCTCTCATAAAATAATTGTTAGTTTAATAGTAAGTGATTACGTATCTGTGTGAATATTAAGATTAGGATATATCTTATATGACCTTCATCATCCTTTTACCACTATGCCTTTCACCATAAAGCTGAAGATCACCCACATTTCCTGGGTACGTGGCGCATTACCACATTACGTCCTTGTATCTCGTGCATTCCTATCTCGTACATCTGGATTATGGAATGAGCTTCCTTCTTCAGTTTTCCCCTTTACAAATTAATATGAGGCTTTTCGGAAAACGTGCATACAACCAACCGACTTCAGTTGTGGTAAATCCAAAAAAAAATTGAACATTTACATTATATTTTTGTGTATTTATTTATTGGTTTTTGTATTTTATGCACGAAAAATTAATAATTCACTCTTGCGCCACCTGCCCATTTCTGCTCTTAACTAAAGGTTGTCTATGAGAGATTGCGCTAGCGATAAGACCGCCTTTTGTACCTTTATGTGTATATTTTAATCTGTATATATGTTACTGTATTTCACTTGTATTATTCACTTGTCATTGTATATTTTTATTTATGGTGCAATAAAGAGTTAAATAATAACACTAAACTATTCAACTGATTTTGATAAATTTTCTATTGGACCTGTATAAATATCTTTTCAGATAAAAAAAAAAAATTCCAAATTAATTTACAACTAACGAAGATATAAGGTAACAAACATAAAAAAAAATTACAATCGAATTTAGAATCTCTTTTTTTATGAATAAGGTTGAAAAGAGAGAAGAAGAGAAGATTATGAGGTATTATTAATAACGGCAAATAGGCACTAAATAGGTTTCA